TCTACGTACGAAGCAGCGTTACTAACGCTGCCTCAAGAAGCAGTAGACGGCTTACTGCTACTATAAATAATCACGTTGATATGTTCGCCGGCTCTTGCAGACGACGTACACACTTTATGGACTCCTGTTTGCGAGATTATCATCTGATGCTCAAAGCCGCAGATGCGGAGATGGAGAATGCTATTAAGAAAATGCCTCTCACCAAGTGGAAGTAAGTACTCGATTTCTGATTCATTCAGCAACTCTGACGCGTTCTATATAAAGTTGAAGATGAATTTTTTTGATGATTTTCTAGGCAATGGTGCAAGTGGGAAGAGATGAATCCAATATTTTTAACATTTCAACAATGGAATTGGGAGATACCGTTTCTGAAAGAACCAGACCCACTGTTCAAATTTTATATCGGTTCCGCTGTTTTCGTTCTGATTTTTATGGGACTCATTTACCTGGTGCCTACATTTTCTCTTTCTAAGTACGTTTTCCTTGCAAGAATATTTATTATTTATACGAATAAGATTGAGAACGTTTTCAACACTCTAATTTATAGGTGGCATTTGAGCACAACGATTAGTTACGCGACAGCGATATTATTTTTGATTGCTTTACTGCCGATAGCTTGGATGCACTTCGCGTGGAACCGATATAAGGACCCACATGATGAACATGAAGGACATATACCGCATCCTCGCAATAAATTATTATGTTTTCTATATCAAACTAGCATAAAGGTTAATATTCTTGTATATCTCATCTCTCATGTGATTTTTATAGTATTGAGTATTATATTATATTTTTTACACTATACTGTAGGTTGTTTGGAGTGCATTCCTCAGGACAGTGCTATACTTGGTAATAACGATAATGCTAGCAACGTGCGCCATGTTTGACATGATTGTAGGTTGACAGTATACATATATACTATGTTAAACATTAGATTATTAATTAAAGTATTCAATTGTTATATAATTTTAGTTTGAATGCAAAAATGTGAATGAGCTTGCAAGTAATAATATAACATCCAGCGTGTTGGATCCTGATGGTACGAAACTTGATTGTGTGGCTACACCTTGGGTAAGATTGTTTAGTAGGTACTTGTATGCTGTAGATTCTCTATTAGCTTAACTTTCCAGAACATCAAACAATGTTTTTAATTTCATTCAACGACTATTTCTAGCAAATGACGCAAACTTGCTCCTTGGCAATTCTGACAAGCTTTCTGTTTTTGAGACTCCACTATATCCTAAAGTTAGTAATAGGCATCGTAATAGTGATATTTTATTCGTGGAATGTTTGGGTGTATCGTTCAAATTTGTTCCAGGTAATTCTAATCAGAGTTTTTTTAATTTGTTAAGGTATTTGTAAGTGAATTAGTGGCAGGTCTTTTTTATTTGCAATTTTTTTCACAGTCAGGCGAAAGATGGAATCCATATTTAGAACCAAGACTGGCTCACATTTTAAGCATAGTTTTCCTTGCCTTTTCGTTGCATCTCATAGATCGTCAGGTGAGCGTATTTAAATTGACAAGAGCATTATTTCTTCAATAATACACTGCTCGTATATATTAACTCGAGTAAAAATTTATTCAGGCAGAATATCTGAGCAGATTGGACTACTTATGGAAACGTCAATTGACCAAGGAACAAGATGAAGCATTTCATACGAGGAACGCTAATAAACTTCTACTCCGTAATATTTTACCAGAACATGTTGGTATGTTAATTTTTAAGTAATATGAAAATGCAATCAATTACGATCGTAATTATATCACGTATAAATTTTATGTAGCGGAGTTCTATTTGAACATGAACAGAACAGAAGAAAACGAGCCCTATCACGAAGCTCATAATAACGTGGCCGTCATGTTTGCTTCATTAACGGATGTATCCATTGATGGAAGTAATACTCTGGCAGATCTAAATGAGATCATATGTGAATTTGACAAATTATTATTTGAGCCATGCTACGTTTGTCGAATTGAGAAAATCAAAATTGCTGGTAAATGAATAGAACGAAAATAAGAATTTTTAAAACGCGTTGTAAAGACATAATGGAAGAACGTTACGATTGTCTTAGGTACCACCTATATGGCAGCTTGTGGATTAGAAGCCGGTCGACGAGATTCGATGCGTAGCACAGTAAGCGAGGAAAATTTCAATGACAATGTGGTAAAAGTTATGGCTCAGTTCGCAGCCGAGATGATGGCAGTACTAGATAAATTGAAGAGGAAATCTTTTTACACGTCGAAACCTTATAGGTACATATTTATGTCTGTATAAATCTGTATTCATTTATCTGAATTGTTTATGAAAATAAAATATTTTTTCAGACTAAGAATTGGAATATCACATGGCGAAGTAACAGCAGGAGTAGTAGGCGCTCAAAAGCCATTGTATGATATCTGGGGTGATGCTGTGAACATGGCATCGAGAATGGATACGACAGGTGTTCCAGGAAAAATACAGGTTCGATTAAAACTAAATTTTAGCTTAAAGAAGTATATTTTTTTATTCGATTTGGATAACGATCATTTACATAGGTTACGGCAGAGACTGCAGCTGTTCTTGAACAGCAAGATGTTAAGTGTCACCTTCGAGGAGAAACGTATGTCAAACCGAAAGGATTCGTTACAACATACTTTGTTGGTATCGACGATAACCGACAACTTCAAAGAGCGGATTCTATCGAGGAGACTAGTCTGTGATCGAAACGCTCTGATCAATTATTGTGGTCATAATGTGAAAAGTGAGATATTAGGTATCTAAGTGAACATATAGAGACACAAGAGAAAAACCAAAGAAAATTTAAAAGACCAAAGAATCGAGGGAAAAGAACGCAATCAATGACTGCGTCACTATGTGGAATACCTCAAATTATTCAATCGATTACACGTGTGAAGTATGTTTACAATTATATGCCATAAGGCCGATTATCGACAAAATGATATATGCATCATTATTACAAATCGAAGATGATAATTTTAATAGCATTTTTTTACATAGAGAAATTGAAAATGATTTTACATGATCATTATATATGTAAAAACAGCTTTATACATAGTAGTATACATTTGAAATATCTTCTATTAGCGTTTTCCAATTTGTAAACAAATTCATTTACGTGAAAGATGTTTTACGTGAAAATCTATTAACGCTATACTTTATTTCATTCGGCCATTTGAATATTCATATTGTAAATAAGTAAAATAATTTCCAAATGGTGATCTTGGAAAACGCTATCCTAAACAATGCACAACCCATTGAAAGTATGAAGGTCTTGTAATTGATGATAAAAATATTTTCAAGAGTGACTCTTTGCAAATGACAATTCGAAAGATAATCAAAAGGACAAGAATATAACATTTTATTTATATTGATGCATGCGAATGATAATGATGTTCTTTAGCTGTATGTTAAATGTACATACAATGCTCCGCATCTGATTAACAAAAAGGTAGCTAGTTTGAAATATTTATTGACATAGGTTTTTCCAGGGTCATGACAATGGGCGAATGTTTTGAAAATTGATGTACTTATAAACGTATTTTCACGATGTTCACTGTAAAGCTAAAAACATTTCATAATATCAAAGATGTTCATAAGTTTCAAAACTCAGCCTTGAAATACCTGGACAGCTTTAAGTTCTATTTCATTTATGTCGAACACTAAATTTTCGTTTAAATACGATCATGCGATGATATCACAACCTCATTATTAATTTGTTTCCAGGCATAGCTTAAATATTTTGTGAAAATTCTTAATAAGTAATTAAACAAATCGGGGTGGAATTTTCATTATATAAAGGTTATTGCTTTTTAGCGACTAAGCAAAATGGTTAATAGAAATATAAAGTCGCCCCGCAAATCGCGAATCTAAACACATAAGAGATTCGTGTTTAATGAATAAGTAAAAATAATTCTTGTCACGTAATATCAATGGATTTTTACAATAATGCCTACGAACTATGCCCAAATCATTATGTTCGCTTTACGAATCGTTCCAGTAGAACAGATACGGCAATTTTTTAAATATATCATTTCTTCCTTAATTTATGAACCACACATTTTATAAACTGAGCTCCCCATCCTGGTTATAAGTAGAACTATGAATTTATTTTTCTATCGACTATATTATTAGCGTGACAAACGCTGCTTTCTTTCTTTGTAAATATTTTTGTATATATTTTTTAAATATTAAAAATAACGACCAATGTGATTGAAATAAAGTATTTATTACTACATACACAAGGTGCAAACGTAATTTATAAACAAACAAACGTAAAAGAGCATTATAACAGATATCTATATATACAATCCAATAAAACTCTTAATATTGAACTCTTTATATCTCTATTGTATTATAGTTTTCCCTTATATAAGTTTTTAATCTCGTGATATCTTACCCCGTTCTATTGTTCTTTTTTCTTCGTTTATTATTTTTTTATAGTCATACATATTCTTAGTTTTTTAGCACTATAGTTTTCTATTTCTGTCGGAACGAGATCTTGAGATAAAGAATATTACCCATAGCAACAGTATAATTAGGAGATATTTTTATTAAAACGGAAATTACTAATTATCAACTGTATAAGAAGTTTTTCATTTCAATACAAAGAATATTAAAGAGGTCATGCATCTATTTTATTAAATCAATTTCTTTGATACCAACCCTTAATATTCTTACATTTTTATATAGCAGTTTTTAAGATTTTCTTACGGTTATCGCGTTCGACTTTTCATTTTTAAAATCTACGAGGACAGTTTTCCACAGTAGGATCGGACTATAGATATTTATAAAATTAAATTTTAATTAACTTATAGTAACAATATTTTTTAGTAATTATTAATAAGTTCTAATTAGTAGAAAAACTAATTCCTCCATCCATAAAAGGGTTAAAAAGCATAGTAGTAATAACATACGTTTTATACGATTCATTAATTACATGCATGCATGTTTTATGAATTTTTCCTTTATATATATTAAAATAATTCGCCAATTTTTCAGCAAATGGCTACGGTGGTTTCACATACGTAATGGCCTTGTTTTTTCGATCGGGAGTGACGTTTATTTATCTCGATACAATTCGTGTGCAGGATTACGTATACACCGTGACAGATGGTGACACTGACGACTATATTCATTCAGACTTGGCTTAGGGTTTATCGATTTACTCGAAGTTTTAGAGCTTCGCATAGTGAACTTGGTTTATTTCGAGCAACAACAAAAAGGTCGATGCGTGCGAAGTCTTTTCATTAGAGAAATCGTTAATTTTTCGACGGTAACCGTATGAGTCATCTTGAAAACAGATCATACTTGCTGGTCATTTTGTTGACAACAGTGGAATAAGATAGACAGATAACAATTCTTTACCATTTTTTACGTTTGAACTGTCATCGTATCATCTGTGATTTTCTACAAAACCTGGAGTTCTCTGATTCACGCGCCGAAAAACTGGACAGGAGAATAAGTAATCATAATCTTTTTTATCCCGAAGGATATTACCTTCAAATCGAATCCTGTGTGCCTCTAGAGTAAATTACGAAAGTGATTTTTTATTGCGAATGATTATCTTAATGCGTTAATCAATGAGGATATAACCTCTAAGAAGGAGGTTACTGTCACACATAAAGAATAATTAAAGATTGCTTGTAGAAAACGTTGTAAGTGCCAAGAAACAAGTTTTTCAAGAGAGAAAAATAAGTTATGCATTAATGTAGTCCAAATTCATGAAAGAGAAAAGTATATCCATAGAAAACCCTGTATGTGCCACCTCTTAATTGTAAAGAAAACTCAATGTTCCATTCACTTACATAGGTGGCATGAACAAAAGCCAAAAAACAATTAATTAATGTTTATTGACGCTTATATTTTCTTCTATAGTGGCGGCACTATGATATCATCCTCTAGCATTATTAGTAACTATTTAGAAAGGAAAAGTACACTTGAATTCTATATTACAGTATTCAAAATTAAAATTATTCAATCTTGGCACCTACAGTGTTTTCTACAAGTACTGTTCAATCGCATTTTAATATATTTCTAATCTTGTTTAAGTAATATAAAAGTCAACATGGATATTGGCTTTTCGTCATACCACAATGGTGGACCCGCAAGGGAACAAGATTTTGGCAGATTATCGCAGACAATTGGAACGTCAATTTTGAAGATATCTCAAAATGGTAAATATATGAACTTTCTTTGTTGAAAGATATATTCAATATTCATTTTGATTTCTGTTTGACAGTATCTTCCATGCAAAAGATGGTTAATCAATTGGGTAGCTCTACAGACTCTCAAGAGCTACGGAATCAATTGTAAGTTGTTATCAAGAAGTGTTAATCAATTGTATTCTATGAATGCATATTTAATATAATGTATTTTTTAGGCATCAAATACAACATTATACACAACAGCTGGCAAAAGATACTAGTGTGCATCTTAGAGACTTGGCTATATTGGCTAATAATTCAGGATCTACCAGTCCTGGTGAACAGAGACAGCGTAAAATGCAAAGGGAACGTTTGCAAGATGAATTTACAAGTGCATTAAATTCTTTCCAAGTATGTTTACTTTGTTATTTTACCGTGTATATTTATTTACATTATTAGGAAACACAATAGAGGAACATTATGATATAGCGAAGCATCATGTATTTCTAATTTGTTTTATTCAGCAAATTTCCTTAGCAGGGTGGCCTGTAGCCCACATACCATATGTGGCAGTGGCACACGTTCGTGAAAATTTGTTTGTTAGAAATCGGTCATTGTTCGTTTTCATGATAGTTTTCATGATAGATAGCAAAGTATTATACAATTATATCCCAAAGGGTCTTCTAGGATTTAGATGCTCGTTACCGAGCATAACGGTTCTTGGTACTTCGTAGTGCTATTACCCTGTTGGCAAGCCACTATGTAATGGTCACCAACTCCTTCACCCCTGCTTCAAGACAGATCACACTACGGAGGGTCACGGACCACACACGACGAATGGTCATTTATCTATCACTCATAGCAACTCATACTCATAGTCATAATCTTTCGTTAGTTAGTCTTCATTATCATTCATAGTTACTTTAGTTAATTAGCAGTTATAGTTGTTTGTTGAAATACATGATTTTTAGTCTTCAACATGGAGTGTTCTTTCGAATCGTTTTATATTAGTCGGCATATCACACGCAAAATTCAATAAAGTCCGAACGACTCACAAAGATCAACCGCGGGGAATAAGTATATATAAATTAACTCTTTTAGGCAGTGCAAAGGCTTGCAGCCTCTAAAGAGAAGGAAATGGTTAGAAAAGCAAAAGCAAGTGCAGGTATTGCTCCATTCGGAGAGAAGAAACAAGAGACATTAATAGAGTTACAAGATAGCAGAACTCAGAAGCAAATACAGCAACAGCAGTTAAAAGAGGAACAAAACTTACGAATGTTGGAAGAACAAGAAGCAAGTATAAAACAGTTGGAGGTACATTTCTTTACTTTAATGATATGTTATGAATTTTCTGAGCCGATACTATAATGATTTATTTATTTTGCAGGATAATATTAGTGACATCAATCAAATTTTCAAAGATCTTGGTGCTTTAGTATATGATCAAAGAGAAGTCATTGATTCTATAGAGGCTTCTGTTGAAAGAACAGAAGTATCTGTCCACGAAGCTTCTTCACATGTAAGACAAGCAACTATGTATAAAAATAAACTACGCAAGAAAAAATGCATACTCGTTCTTATTGGAGCAGTCGTGCTGTCTATATTAATTGGAATCATTGCTTGGCAAAGCTCTTAAAGTATTTGATGGTACAAAATGACGGTAAAAGACGTAGCTGCACTGCATCTTAATTGCAAGGTACCATACTTGGTGTATTTTCTGAAAAATCTCCTAATTTAATTAAAGTCGCTTTACGAATATGAGGGAAGAGTAGTACTATCAATCAATGGAAGTGAACGTAATGGAAAAAACTTGCATCGTACTATATCTTACTAATAACATTCTTATAATTGTGATAATAAATGGTGCAAGATCTATTTTACGAATAAGATGTGCAACGGCAAGTCTAAGACTGCCCAGTCCATTTGTACGTTTCATTACTCAATGTGTAATATTAGTGCATAAATATATATATAAAAAAGAAAAATATATAAATATATACGTATATACGTATATAGGTCTATTCATGATATAGTTGTGATCAATAATTTCACATTATTTTATGGATTATAATATGTGAATATAGAGATTCATTTTGAACGATGCCAGCCTGCATTTTGAAAACTGAATCTCGCGTGAATTGTGTGAATCGGTAAAGAGTGAATGTATCGGTATAATCATCATATAGTATGCAAATTGCGAACATACAACAGAGATTGTTCTTATTTCATTAAGATTAACAAAACATTAAGTAAACATTAAGATAAAAAAAAAATCAATGCGGATATTATGAAACAGCAGAGTATATGAATGAAAAATCAATGTAAGTTAATTGTATTATATTTAAGAATGTTGATTTATTTTAGCCAAAATGTAATAAATCATGTAAAATGAAGTACATATATCAAATTTGAACAAAATGATTTATTATTACTGAATTTAACAATCATTAAATTATTTTAAGACAAATTTTTACTTTGTTTTATATTTGATTAATGTAATATTAAAAGTATATATTAAATCATCTTATGTATTAAAAAATTTACTTTAATCTTCAGTCTATCATTTTATACATATTACAATACATGTGTAGGATTTACGATGATTTCCGCGTGCTGATAGGAATACCAAACAGGGCTTCGCGCTGCACAGATAATGCTGTTATAACGAGTTCATTAAATGCCAATAAGATTAGTGATAGAAGTTCGCAAATAGTACGCGAGTACTATAGTAGTTAGTCTTGTACAAAAGAATAATTTATAATGTCGAAAGAAATCATAACATTAATTATGCTGTTTAATGATTATTCATAACAAAAGGAAAAGCATGTGTTGCGAATATCAAGTTTCGAGGCAGAAGAAGGAAGAACAAAGGACGTCGTTGATAGGCGCAATGCTTTTGTGAAAAAGCGTTTATTCTTGGCACCGTTCAAGCGTCTGCTTGTGCCTGCCATGTCACGGTACTGGTGAGTTCTGGGAGTTGGCGCCAGCGGCAGGACGCCTCTATGTAAAAAATATTAATTGAAATAAAATGCGTGTCATATCGTTTCATATCGAAATGTGATGCGACTCATCGATTGTGTGTACATATGTACTTAATACTTACTTTACTACTTACATATACATGTATATGTACATGCTATCTATGTAAGTATTCACCAGTTATATCCGTGTCGTTCGACGGTTTACGTCTATGTTCACGCAATATGGAAGTGCATTAATTGTTTTGTTTGACATTTGCGCTTCTAAATTAAATATATCGAAATAATAAAAAAGAACGCGTACCAGACAGAAGTTTTAAAAATATAATGTTGAAGCACATTTTTGGTGTAACTACGATTGTATTAATATGTTTGTCAGGATCTGAGGTTAGGTTATTAACATAGAAAATAGCAAAATCTAATTGTCATGATACATAATCCCTACAAACGAATTACAGGCGCAATATGATGATAAACGGTGCAAATGCATTTGTCCTAGTCTTCCATCCGTTATAAATACAACACAATCGTCGTCAGAACGAAAAACATATATTATAAATGTTCCACCTTCTGAATGGTAATTGAAATTCCTAATACTTAATTAAGAAGCTTAATCCCATATATGTAACATGCATAAGTTATCAATGTTATTTTTATGTAACTTCATATAAATTTTAATCTGCAGTAAATGTGAAAATGTTGTATTATCAAAAGTGGGAGATCAGTTGAAAGGTAAAGAAGAAATTTTTTGTTCACGATGTGATTGTAAATATGAAAACAGGAATACTACCATTATCAAAGTAAGTCTTTTTACTATTTCTCATTTAGTAGAAAGTTTATAAAGTAATTTGTCTTTTCAGATAGTAGTGATACTTGTTATTTGGGTTATATCTCTGTTAGTAATTTATATGTTATTTTTGATTTGCCTGGATCCATTGTTAAATAAAAGAATTCATAAAGCTTCAACAAATATTGGCTATCATGAACACAATAATGAAGATGTAAGTTAATATGGTTTATTATATACATTAAAGTCTAAAATATCAGATGTTTAGTTTGATATGTTATGGTTATTTAAACCATCTTTGTTTTAATAGGATGATTCCTCAACAGCTCCTGGAACATTTCATGCCATGGGCGAAAGAGGTAATGTTTTAAATCGTGTCGGTCATCAACAAGATAAATGGAAACGTCAAGTTCGTGAACAGAGACGTAACATTTACGATCGGCATACTATGCTTAATTAAAGTGTACAATTCTGTTTATAGAAGGAATTAAATATAATAAATAACAATACAAAGGCTGTGACATTTATTTGATGGCATTTACAGTTCTGTATATGTAATTTTTTCAGAGTATCTTACATATAAATATGTTTAATTCCTTATATGAAATGATAAAAGTAAACAATTGAGATATTTGTAAATGCTAACAAATCTGATTATGGATGCTATATTGATATTACATCAAATACATAACTAGTGATTTCTAAATTCTTTGAGTAGTGTATCAAACAGTAAAGTATTAAAGTGTATTATTTCTATTGGTAAGTGTATATATATTTTTATGAAATATTTATTTAAAAATAAATTGAACTATTTTACAGCCTGATATTCATGAATTGTTACATAAATAATTTTAGTACATTACTTTCCATAGCATGAGTAATACTCAATTTGTAGAAAATCAATACAATTTTACTTGTTTAGATCAATTCACAATCATTCAAAATTTGAATATGAAATTATTTAACATTATTTGGACACTGCAGACGAGTCTTTATCACGTAATACATCTTCAAAAATGTTTTTGAGTGTATCATACAATGTTAAAACTAATGCTCCACCAGTACCTCTGAGAATATTTGACAGTGAACCTTTAAAAAAAGCACCAACACCTTCTGCCTTGGCTGTTTTGATCCAACAATCTAATGTATTTTTATACATGATTTCTCTTTTACTACGTCCTGATTGCATCATCATACGTCTTCTAACTGTATCAAAAGGGTATGACATAACTCCAGCCACTGTTGTTACTACCTGTAAATAATATTACATTTGAAAGTTCGAAAATAATCTTAAAGTAATAAAAAATGACTTACTTGCGCAATTAAAAAGGTAATATGTAGGGGAGTATTTTTTGGATCAGGAAGCATGTTTTTTGTCGTATCATAAAGACCGAAATAAGTAGCTCTATAAATAATAATTCCTTGAACGCTTACATTAAACCCTCGATATAAACCAATAAGGCCATCTGTCTTGAAAATTTTTACTATACAGTCACCCAGACCTTTGAATTCCCTTTTATCTCCTTGTCCAATATCTGCAGCCAATCTGCAAAGTATATTATTATTACATTATCGAGAGCTACATAAAGATAAATGTATTACCTTGTACGTGCAAAATCAAGTGGATACACAAATAAAAGAGATGTTGCTCCAGCAGCTCCACCAGAAGCCAAATTTCCAGCAAACTGTCTCCAAAATGCATCTTTTGGAACACCTTCCAAGAATATAGCTTTGAATTTGTCTTTAAATGCAAAATTTAAAGCTTGAGTTGGGAAATATCTAATTACATTAGCTAAATTTCCTCTCCAAAAACTAAGAAATCCAGTTTCTTTCGGTATACGTATAAATGCATCCATCATTCCTAATAAAATGAAAATTATGGTAAACCATAAAAATATTATTTTATTTTGTATTGAGAAACATACCTTTGTACCGATCTTCTGGTCTTATTTGTTTTGAAGTATGTTGAACTTGGAGTAATAATTTTACCCTTTCTAATGGTGCTACTGCAGTTTTTGATACAGCTGCAGATATCCCACCAGCTAAAAAATCTATTATAAATGACTTGTATGCATCCATATTATAAATTTTTTAAGACATGTCTTTAGAGATAAATTTCAGTTTACAAAGATAAAATTAGTTGAAATTAGGGATCATAATGGTAACACAATTTCATAGATTAAATAATTTTATGTTTATTTCGACATAAAACATATCTTCATTATATTGAAACTATTATAAATAAATATTAACCCACATATGTCATGAGCTTTTTTACAATGGTTTAGTTTGTAACTTCTATTGTTTTTTGTTTTTGTTTTTGACTTATAGCAATGGGATGGGCAAATTAATACACAGGAAATTTGGTTTTAACGTTTAATCGCTTTACATAAAATTGAATCTTCTTCTCATTAATTTAAGGCGTTAAATTGGTCATACAAATTTTATCATCAAAGCTCTCAAACACGTTTCAAGAACTATATATGACTATCATTCTTCTTCGTACAAAGAGTTTTAGATCACAGTAAATTCTAGCTAAAATTGGCGCAAAATATATTAATGCATCTTTAAAGGAAAATAAGAAGTGTAACTAAACATTAAGTAAAGATATTTAAATTTCAGGGACTAGATATAGTTACTTAACATCAAACCACATTGAACAAGTGTTAAATATTAGCACTTCCAGTTCTAAAATGCTCATACCCATTAATTACATTAATACTACTGAAAGGTATGTATAGCATATTTAGAGGAATGTTCTGGCACATAGTGGCAAAGTTATATATGTATGGACAAAACTGGACCATCTTTGGTCAATATGAAATTCGAAAAGATATATTTGTATTTGCTTCTTTTCTCTCCTAAGTGCATAAAAGACTAATTAGAAATATAATAAACATAAAAATTTGGTACAACTTTAACTTATTTCGTCAAATAAAAATAAAAATTGTACTATGAGTTTCCAATATCCATTAAATAAAACACACATTCACTGCCTGTATAACTTAGGCATTTATTGCTATCTATTGTATATCGTTCAAGTAATGAGATACGGATGTTGTGCGAATATATTCACAATTTATAATCTATTTTTAAAAATGTATACCATTTTGAATATATTTCCTTGTAAAATATTCATTCACAATTGGTATTAATAGAAAGTGATTTGTTATCTTCAATTAACTGGCAGTGAAAGTACCGAACGTTTTATCCAACGAAATGTCACTAAAGTTAAAACTTATAATTTGGCTCTAATATGCAACAGCATATTAAAATAAACGTGTATATCAAAGACTCGTTTAATACTTAATAATAGGAGTATGAATGTGGTCAGGAAGTATTAAAAACTCTTATACCATTCGATTAAGCCGCATGAACAGACTGAAAAAGAATTATAATTATGATTTCTTTTATCAGTATATTTCAAATACGATTATTTTCCATGATTAGGCATACCTTTGCAATATCCACGCCTGTTAAATTTTTAACCAAATCCGGTACACGCGTTACTATATTAAATACTTCTTCAGTTAGCTTTTCTGCTCCAATAGTTCCACTTCCACTAGAAACCATTGTTATCTTTTTGGCTTGTGACAAAGGTGCTGCAACTTCAGCGGCAACCTATGAAATATAAGGTGTAAGAGGCGTTTACTTTACTCAGTTAAAAAAATCTTTGAAATTAAGATACAAATTCTTTTTCAATCACCTTTGGAAGAGTATCTAACATCATGTCTATCATAGCAGCACTCTTGTATTCATTCCATGCAGCTGCTTTCTTTGCCATTTGTTCCGCTTCTGCTTTAGCCTTTGCTTCAATGGCAAAGGCTTCTGCTTCGCCACGAATTTTGATGGCTTCTGCTTCGGCTTCAGCTTCCATTACTAAACGCAGTTTATTAGCTTCAGCCATTTTTTCTAATCTGTGAATATATAATATTTATTAACACTTATTTATCAATTTTCTAAAGTCACTCAACTTACCTATATTTTTCTGCATCAGCTGGGCGTCGTACAGTTGCATCCAATTCTCGTTCGCGTCTCATCATTTCTTGTTCTTGTACTGCAATTTCTTGTCCACGTTCAACCACTTTTATTTGCATTTGTTCTTCCATAATCCTTTGCTTAGTTTTTGCAGCTTGCAATTCAAATGCCATCTCTGCTTCTGCTTTCTATAATTAAGATATAAATCAATGTGCTATTCATAGAAACAATGACAAAGATAAAAAGAAAGAACAAAAGAAAAACGAAGATAAGAAAACCTACTTTGGTTTGCACTTCAACGTCATATGCGGCTTTCTTTAATTCAAAATCACGCTGAGCTTTAGCAATCTCGGTATCATTAAGAAAACGAGCAGCCATTCTTTGTTCTTCAGCGATGGCTTCGCGAATTTGAGCATCTCTACGAGCTTCTGCTTCACCGATTCTCGCATCACGTTTCACCTCAGCTGTTCTTGCCATACCAAGAGCTTTCAGGTATCCCTATAAATGATCGATAAATATTTAATATGATATGATTAATAACATTGTATTTTCATTACGAATTTTATGTAATAACATTCATTTTAGCAATTACTTTGAATTCAACCTGAATTAAAGGCAGCATACAATAAGAATATCACACATATTTGAAACACAGAAATTTGCAAATGTGTATAGAATATATGTGCTACCACTGAAGCAAGCACTTGAGATATGCTCTAGTTCCCTCTTATTTGAATATTAATGATCTGTACTAATATTCTTTGAACAGCAGTGCAGTAGCATTATATGTAGTGATAAAACAAAATTTGAACGTACCTTTGCCCCCTGCAAGTAGCAAAACAAAAATGTATTCAATTTACAATGTACAAGAATTGGACTACATTAACTCATATTAATAAGAAATTACTTATAAATATTGCACAATTGCACTTAAAGGGGGACTTTTCATATCAAAAAGACTTTATACATTTTATAATATTCAATTGTTTTGTAATTTTTGCATAAAAGTTGTTCCTGAATTCGTTAATAAGAATCAAATGTTGTTTAGTAGGAAGAAAAAATTAACTTACTTCTTCATCTCGAATATCTTTTAAAGTATAGGACACAACAGTAATGCCCATATTGACTAGATCACTGCTTGCTACTTCAAAAACCTCCTTGCTGAATTTTTTACGATCCTTGTATATTTCCTATTTCGTAGGAATAAAAGAAATTAAATGGAATTAATATTTATTTTTATTTAACAACTTAACTAAAAAATTTTAATGTAATGGTATGTATTATACCTCTACAGTCATGCTTCCCATTATGGCCCGTTGATGTCCTTCTAATGTTACAAGTGCAATATTATGAATTTCTTCTTCAGTTTTCCCAAGAAACTGTTCACATGCTGTGGATAACATTTCCTCATTTTGGCCTTGTATCTTGACCTTTGAACAAATACATAAACATTTGGTAAATAAATAGTCATTTATTTATGACATTTATATGTAAATATTTCAATTATATTAGAAATTAATACCTGTGCAATTCCTGTTACAGATATTGGTACACCTTGACATGTATACACAGTTGGACTTTCTACTTGTAAAGTCATAGTATTCAATGAAATTCTAAAAAATACAAATTTCAATTACAATAGAACTGTTATCAAATATTTATTACATCATTTCTTTATATACAATACAAAAACCAAAATTCAACTATATATAATTTTGAGCTTTGATTTCGTTATTCAATAAGTGTAACAACTTACTTTTGTACTTGTTGGACAATAGGCCAAACAAATACTCGACCACCAGGTACTAGTAGAGGCTTGCTGTAGCAACATCCTTAAAAATAAATTAGTGAAGACAAATTTTAATGTATTATATGATCTTCTTTTTATATTGGTATTATTATATTATAGTATAAAATAAAATACATTTAAAGAGAAAATATACAATTAAATCATATAGTAAAATAACTTAGAATCAACCAGGCAGAATTAATGGAAAATAATGAATCTATATACCACTTAATTAATTTTTCTACTTTATTACGAACTAAATTTTCCAAATCAGTTAATTGACAAAGTGCTCCTCCTATGTCGGCTTAATAAGACGTACTGAAACCGAATAATTTGCAATAGAAATCGGTTGATATAATTACCTGATACTACGAGAGCCTCGTTTGGGCCACAAGTAACGAATCCACAACTCATAGTCGCGGGTATAAAGAAAAACAATAGTTACAGCAAGTTTAAAGGGATTGAATTTCGGTATAATCCCTCTACAGTCAATTGACGTCGCTACGATGTCGTCATTCTGTGAGATCGTATTGGAGCTTATGCCGAGTTTACAATACACGTCACAGCTACACGCTCGCTATTAAGCTTTTATACCTAATAAAGTTCTGTATTGTATTTTAAAGTATTAATCCATTTACATCCGTAAGCAGAATATTCCGCGCATGACGATCGTCTCCTATCACTGAGCACGGACTATTCTGCAAGCCGCGACTTTCTTTTATCACCGGTCCCGAAATATTCCGCGTATGACACCGTTCGCATCTTGCTGTTAATGTACGAGCATTTGAGCTATTTTCGTTGCGTTCTTAACAAATTTTACTTTTGTTATTATTGTGTAGATCTTTTTAACTGCCGTTAAGAGTAAATAGTGTCAATCTAAATCCAAATTTAAAAAAAACCTAATTTTATAATTTAAAATAAAATTTAGTTGCCCGAATGGATTCTGATTATTTTGACGATTTGAATTCAAGTATAGAAATAGGATATACTCAAAGACGTATCCGTCATATTTCGTCAAGCGATCACAGCGAAGTTGGTCAACGCAGTAGTTTTGTAGATAGAGATTTGTATGGAAACCCCAAAATCATACGCCGATTGTACATAATTTTTCAAGCGTGAGCGGTGTAACTGTAAATACACAAGAAGTTGAAATTAACGAAAATAATAAAACTGCTGATATACGGCTGCGCGTGATATGGGCCAACTGTCAATTGGGTGACGGCTGTCTGAACACACTAACTTAAGTAGAGTCATGATGCAAATGAGTTGATAATTCGATAATTTTTATAATATAGATAAAAAAATTTACAGCAATAAATTTAACGATACATATTATGTGTAAATAATAAATTTTTCATTACATATAACTTATATCCTTTATTTCTATTTACAAATAATTTCAAAATCGTCTAAATTGTTTTTTGAATCTTTCATAATGATAATCATCAGTTGCTTTTTCTCCATTATCTTTCCTTTTACTCTTGTAATCATCTCTGGGTGCTGCAACTTTTTTTCTCTCATCAGAATCTTGTTTTGATTTCTGGAAATCTGTATCTTCTATGTTAACTAAAAAGAATAAGAAAGAAATAAAAGTTATTATATGCTATAGAAGTTGACTTATAAATTAGATAAAATAAAAAATGAAGTAGATAGTGTACATCTGTTGTGTTGTACAAAATTCACAGCCATATTTGTTGGGACAAATTGCGAGGGTCCATCTTTCTTTCTGTGCCTATCCCAAAGCAGTTTTAACTTAGCTTCTTCCGTAGCTTCGATATTACGAATCTTTGCTCTGAAAAGGTGTATAATTTATAAATGAGAAAAACATTCTTTTATGTGGAATGTGTTAAAAAGAATCAAGTGTATATTATAAAATCATATACTCTATTCCAAGATCCACTTCTGGAATACCAGATAACATTTGATTTGAAAGCATTTCTTCACTTCTGTGTGCAGAGCTTTGTCTTAAATGTTCAGGTACTGCTTGCAAAGCTGCTTCTTCTGGTGAACAATAAGAACCTTTGTCGTTATTTGATCCATTTTCAGTTGTACCTTCAGTTTTGCTTTTTCTCTTTGATAATTCTTCTTCAATATATTTTACCCTAAAAAAATTAGAAGTCATTAATTATGTATTTATTGAATTATATTAACATCATAAATGCAATATTTACATTTCTTCATCTTCATCGCGTTTATTAGTCTCTGCATTAAATTGTGTGCCAATTCCAGTTTCATATGCATCATTTTGTTTCAATTTTGTATTCTTTAATACAGTCATATTTACCATTCCTCCAGTTTTTACATTAAAAGGGTCAGACTGAAGAAAGAAGAATCTTTCAGAAGGAAAGAAGTTATTATATTTTATTTATTAATTTCATTATTGTTTACCGTCATTACATCAGGTGTTACATTTTCTCCAAGGGCTAATCCAACAACATTTATACCTTTTGGTCTTTCACGAAGTTTTTGTATAGTTTTCATCTCTTCAACTTTTTCCCTAAATAGATATTATATTTATTACTAAAGTGTATAATCTACTACATTTAATGTGTTTGGATTTGTCATTTACCTAACAGAGGCTTCTTCATTTTCATTGTCATCTTCATCTGATGAAACCTGTCGTTTCCTTATCGGTTTCCTTGATTTCTTTTTGAATTCTATTTTCTTTCCTTCTGTACTAGTCATCTATTTTAAAACAAATCCGTAAATAAAAAATGTATATACTTCATATTTTATTACTTTTTCTAAATATGATTTTAAACTAATGATTTATGTCTTACACTACATATGTAAACAACTATTTATATCATAATAGTAAATTTGTAAATTAATGATGAATGCATTCAGAAAAAGATAAAGATTAACAGATTATCGTACACTGTAAAGTGACACTTTTTATCTTATAGACTTTTAGGCAGTTTGTAAAAGCACTTAACATTTGTATTCCATAGGTTATAAAGATATCAGATACGAATGTTACTAGAAAATATTCTATAGTTCCTTTTTAAGAATTCTAGTTCTTTTTTAGAAGTCCTAGTTCTTTCCTAACAGAAAAATTTCCTATCTAAGATGTAGCTATTCGGTTGTTTGTGCTACTTAGTTACACGTGAGAAATACACGTGAAAGTAGATTGTTGTCAATTAAAATTACTTTAAAGAATTCATTATATATGAGAAACTAAATATAAACTTAGAAGTTTTCATATGTTTTATCAACATGAAGAATAAGCCAATTCGTCATAAAGAAACAAATACATTTCAAGTATGTAGCGTAAATAATCACTTGTTTTTCATCAAATATTTTTTATCCTTCTATTCTTCTATTTTAGTTTAAAACATTTACCGAAAGAGTAAATGAAATCGACGTCGATGTATTTCACCGTGTTGCACATCGAAACGAGGAGAACGATGAAGAAATCGAAACGTATTTTCATCAAACACTTCAGAAATGGAATTATCTTAACCTTACTGAAGGTTACTGCAGCTTTAAAAAGAAAGTTCGTGATATCGTAACGCTTCCACAATTGGTTAATCAAAAGCAGTTTGTAGTAGATACATTGATAGAATATTTAGCAAAGAAAGATGTTTTGTTTCTACAACCGATCTTAGAGTAAGTATTAAATTAAAAGTTCTACCTATCATCAACTTAAAGGAAAATATGGATTAAAATAGCTTTTAACAAGCATTATCATATAAATTTTTCATTGCAGATTAGTTGTTGCTATGTCTAAAGACCTACAAAAGGATTTTTATGAATATTTCCCTAGATTTTTAACTGTTATCATTGAGTTATTAAAAACAAAAGACATAGAACAAATAGAATACACATTCACATCATTAGCTTATTTATTTAAATTTTTATGGAAATATCTGGTTAAAAATGTAAAAACTGTACTTGATCTGTTGCTACCATTGTTGGCAGATACACAGCCAACTTATATAAACAACTTTGCAGCTGAAAGTTTTGCATTTGTGGTACGTAAGATAAAAGATAAAGATTCTTTCTTAAAGACAGTATTGCATATATTGATAGGTAATCCAAATATAATACCAGGATGTGGTAAATTATTGTTTGAAGTAATATCTGGTATACCAGGACAATTTCATTCATGTGCAGAACAAATGCTTTTATTATACTTCAATGGATTGAATAATGATTCTCTCAATCAAAGTTTAATGTTTAAATTATTGAAGGAAATTATTAACTGTATGCTACAAAGTATACACTCACAGAAATGCCAGGTACTTTGGTCTGTACTTTTAAATGTCATGGACAAATCAATTGAAGAAACTAAACAGTTTCAATCAAAAATTGGAAAAGAGAAAAGTCTGATTCTTTTGATGCAATTGATAAATATAATTGTTAATCATAGAAATGGAAAAATGGTTATAGATCCTGTACCTCTGATTAAAAAATTGTCACATATTTTAGATACTTTTGAAAATGAAGACAATGTGTTACGAGAAGTTATAAATGTATCAGTTACTATTCTTTTGGCAGCCAATGTTAGATTGATGCAGGAAACATCTAGCCAAATATTACTTAAAGTTATGTCGGTGAAAAATATTCAACTATTATATGGTGCTGTTGAAAGTTTAATCCATTATTCATCATTCGAAACTTTGGTATTGCCACATATAATACGACATAGCATTTTCATTGGTTTTAATGATGATACTTTACAACTGTTTACAAAGATAGTTAATGCAAAAGTTCCTTTATGTCTCAATGGTATCAATTTAAACAAATGGACAAAATACATCTTAGATATAAGAGGTGTAAAATCTGATAGTATTAACTACTTCCAGAAGGAGTTAGAAGTTTTATTGGATAATAGTATATCAACAAATGCATTAAAAATGTTAATTATTTTGCCACATCTGAAGCCTATACCAGCAGAATTTAAGGATATTTTAAAAAGGGGAATATTATCTTTATATAAACGGATATTAAACGATACCAATACAGAAACTGAAATGATCAAATTATGTTTGACATTCTTAATATCTTTAGAATCCGCAATTCACATATTGGAATCAGAAACTTTGCATCAGTTTATGGAAGAGAATGATATAAAAGTATTAGATCTTATTATCAAATATCCTGATAATAAATTCATTTTAAATGCTGTAGATTTATGTGTAACATATTTTAGCACATCACAATACCGAGAAATGTATATAAATCGAACTGTGTTTGAAAACTTAAACAGTAGTATTGCAGAAAAATTGAGTTCACCCTTTAGTGAAATTCGCTTAATAGTAACTCATTTATATCTTTTATTCTCCAATATTAGTGAAGTAAAATTGTCTATTACGAATGAGAAGAAGGAAACAGGTGTTATGGAACATATGTATTTAGCAGAATGTGAACCTATATCAGTACATAGTTATCGAAGTAAATTGCTGCATTTACAAGCATTGTCATATGAAAATGAAGCAATGATAAATTTAGATCTGAAGTATTATGAACTTCCATTACGATATTTACTAGGAAATCTGTATATAAATTTTTCTTTACTTTGGGAACCTATAAGTAAGATCATAGCTACTTTTGCAATCAGGGAATATGAACAGTTTTGGCCTATATTTTTAACTGAATTAAAATGTAATCATGAAGTAACTGTAGACTATAAACCATTATTTGAATGTACAGTTATTTCTGCAATAGAAAATGCTGTGCAAAAATGCAGTGACAAACCAGACTATGAAAATCATAAAATTCTTTTATGGAAATGTATGACAAATTTTTCACATTTCTGTGAGATGAAGAATAGAGATATAACAGGACTATTCATTGATTTTGTAAATCACAACTTTTTTAAGTCAAATTCTGAAGATGCAAGATGTTGCAGTATCTTAAAAGGTCAAGAATCAATTGTTTCTAATAACAACATGGAAATTGATGAAGAAAATGAAAGTGATAACGAATCTGCAGAAAATCAAGAAAATGAGAAAGAGGAAAAAGAAAAAAAGGAAGCTACTATTTCTACAGATACAAAAATGAAACAAATAGATATGGAGTCTAGACAGATAAATAAGATTGTAATAAGTAAGAATTATAAAGTGAAGCTTTTACTTGCTCAACTTGAAGTATTTGAAAAGATAACAAATCCAAGAACATTATATAGGGAATCAGAGATGCAGAACATTTATTTAGACTTGCTGTCATCAAAAGTTCCTGACATTCAAAAGGGTGCTTTAAATTGTCTTCTCACTTATAAACAGAAATATTTAATACCTTATAAGGAAAATTTGCTTAGTATAATTAATGAAAAAAACATGAAAAATGAATTGACACATTTTAAAGTCGATAAAGAAAGTAATATTATACTGGAAGAACATCGCAATGAATTTATACCTATATTAATGCGTATAATTTATGCTAAAATGATTGCAAAAACAGGAATGAGAACTGGTGGTAAAGCTGGAGGTACTTTAAAACGAAAAATGATCTTACGTTTTCTATCTGGAATTCAAGAGAATGAAATGATCATATTTACCAACATGGCATTTAAGCCTTTCAAGAAATATATGCTTGAATTAGATAAGATGAATGATCAACAAATTAACTTGAAACAACTTACACAAACTATTATTGATACTGTAGATTTGAGTAACATTATTCCACCTAAACGTTTGCAGAGTGCCACGAATTTACTTGCAATTTTAATAGAACAATTTGGTAGTAAGATGGGAAAGAAATTGTTACCCTACTTACTTGGTTTGGTAATATGCATTCTGGCAGAAGTAACTGGAATTTTACAGAAATCAGATCAAGTTCATGTTGGATTGTTACAATCTATTAAAAATGTAAGATCCACTTCCATCTCAATATTAGCAAGGTTCTTTGGTCACTTTGAAGATTATGAATGGAATAAATATGAAATAGATGCCTTGTTTAATGTAGCTGTATTTCCATGGTTAGAGAAATTACCTATAGAAGGTATTCACAGTCCTACTCCATTATTGAGGTTGTTTATGGCATGGAGCCAGAACTCACGTTTTTATCCGTTATTTATAAAATATCGCGAAGATAATAAATCTGTTAGTTCTCTTCCTTACATAATGAAACTTTTAGTGGGTTCAAAAACTGAAACACCTGTTATCAGTGCTATTGTTGAAATGATTGAGAAAATGGTAACACTACAAGACTACGGAAAGACAAATGAAAATGATATGGAAGTTGATACACCTTTTGTTCCTTTAACACCTATACTTAATAATTTATCTGAAATAAATGAAGAAGCATTATCTAATGGAGTTAATTATGGATCTACTATTCTTCTCCCACACGTGTTCAGTATTTTACAATATATTAAAAGTAAACTTGAAAAATCAACCAAGGGAATAAATAAATCAGAACTTGTGATTTTATCACGTATTTCAGAATTCGTGAAAGATGCACATGCATGTGATATACTTCTTACTCTTACTTTACCAATATTGACTAAAAAAGCTGGAGCTGGAGAGGGAGAAGAAACGATTATTGAATTGATTACAACCACAATAAACCTTGTAAAGCAAGTGAAGGAACCAACAACGCACATGCGTGCAATTCTACCTTTATTAGGTGCAATATCTGCAATTCCTGCTCGTAAACTCCTGTTGGAACTCTATAAAACAATTGTGGAAAAGTCTACAAACGATTGTCATGGGATATTAATAAAAAATTATGAATTAGTAAGTGCACTTAATGCATGGGATCGCAGGTGGCTTGATCAACCAGATTTTCAAAAAAGATTGGATGCATTTTCTGAAATTAATAATGCAATAGAAAAGGATGAGATTACGTTAGAGTTTGGCATAGCTATTATTTATAATTGTTATTACATTCTTAAAAATGAAGCAGATCTAGCATTAAGAGATAATGCAGGACAGTATCTTAAGCTACTTGGTTGTAAATTGGCACAGAAACATAAAGAAAATGTAGCAGATAGACGTTATTTAATGGACAATACAATTTTACCACTTATAAGAAAAGGGATAACTAGCAAAATTGAAATCGTAAGGCTTCAATCAATAGCTTTTTTGGGACATTTGGCTATGGAATGTTCAGACGTCCATCCCGTCTTACGGGATTTATCTGTATTAACTGATAAGGCGGATCCCGAAGTAGATTTCTTTGAAAACATGCAACATTTGCAACTGCACAGGAGAGCTCGAGCATTTCTTAAATTTTGTAATATAGCAAAAACGTTGAAGAAGCCGTTCAATCCGAGAACATTAACACAGTTTGTCCTTCCTTTTGCTTCTTCATATCTATGCAATGAAGCTTTTATTCATAAAAATAGTCTTATCGATGCTGCAATAGGAACAGTTGGTACTATATGCAAACTTTTACCATGGCATCAATATGAGATTATTCTGAAACATTACTTAGAAAAGCTAAGACATTCTATTGAATTTCAGAAACAACTTGTTAGAGTCATTGTTAGCATTTTAGATTCTTTCCATTTTGATTTGTCAAAATATAAATTTGTAGAAGAATCTTCAGTACTAAAATATAACAAAGAAATTGAAAGGGATCATGAAAAAGAAATAATTTCTGATGAAAAGAAAGAAGGAGAAAGTGTTGCAAAAGGTGATGATAAAAATAATGAAAAACAAGTAGAAGAGAAATTAGATGAATCTTTAAATTCTGAAAATATAGATACTGTGGAAGAAACTGTAGGAAAAGTACGAAATGAAACACAGAAAGAAGTACCTGTAATGGAAAAACAGATCATTCTTTCACAGAATGGAGCACGACGAGTCGTATTTAGTATATCCAAGGAATTGCTACCTCAACTCCATTGTTCCATTATAGCGAGAACGAGTCGCGAAAGTAGTCACAAGATTAACAAGAAAAGAATTGCAATAGATAACGAGGAAGAAGAACTAATGCGAGTTCCAATTGCTCTTGCTTTTGTTAAATTACTACAGAAATTACCTGGACATATTTTAGATGCTAATTTACCAGGGTAAGTATATAATATATACACCTCCATATAAAATTAAAAGATTATTAAAATATTATAATAAATTGTTTCAGAATCTTTATGAAGTTATGTACATTCTTGAAATCTCGTTTAGAATCTGTACGACGTGTTACTCGAGAAATATTACAAAAAATTATGATAACTCTTGGCCCGAAGTATCTTCATTATCTTTTAAGAGAAATGAATACTTTATTAACAAAAGGTTTTCAAGTTCATGTTCTCGCGTTTACAGTACAATCAGTATTAGTAGCTCTGAAACCATATTTTCAGAAATTTGATATCAATGAAAATCTTCAAAGTATTTTATCTGTAAGTAATATTGTAAATACATATTAAAATCTAAATTTTGTGATATATCTAATATTCATATATTCTTGTATTTTAACTAGGTATGTAAAGTAGATCTATTTGGATTAACAGCGGAAGAGAAAGAAGTAATAGGAATTGTGAAAAACGTATCAGAAGCAAAATCTACAAAAAGTTATGACATATTTCATATATTAGCACAATATATTACTGAATCATGTTTGGTGGATTTAATCTTACCATTAAAAGAAGTGCTTATAAGAAGTCATTCGCATAAAACTTTGCAGAAGGTTGTGGAATGTTTCAGAAACATAGTACTAGGTTTAGCTGATAATATCTTTATACCATTGGAACAAATGTTAATATTCCTTTATGGTGTAATTTCTGAAAGTATTCCTGAGTTTAAGTCTGAGAAGAATGATAAAGAATTAACAGAAAAGGAAGTAGAAATACTCAGTAGACAGAAACCAGATTGCTTTATTATACCTCCAGAACCAAAAAATAAAATGGGCATAAAGGCTACTTCAAAAACTTCAAAGAACACCAATGTTCACATTATCATAGAATTTGGTTTAAAACTTTTCCATATTCTGTTAAAAAGAGACAAAATATCTAATACAGAATTTAAGTCCCTGATAGATCCATTTGTACCACACATCAGTGAATGCATAAAATCTCAACATGTGAAGGTAAATTTATTATATTCTTATTGTAAATAATAATCGTGATCAATTGTTTGATATGTTGATATATTTTTTCAGCTAAGCACGTTAGCTTTACAGTGTTTAAACTGGTTGCTTAAAATGGATTTGCTTTCAATACAAGAAACAATTTCTGATATTTGTTCATCTATCTTTATTATCTTGCATAAATATGCTGCAGCTGGCCTAAGTAAAGGAGATAATTTTGATTTAGTGATGGCTGGTTTTAAATGTATGTCTGTAATTGTTCGTGATGTGAAACAGTATGTAATTAGTATAGATCAGTTGAAAGCCTTAATTATGTATGCTGAACAAGATATGCACAACACTGATAAGCAAGCAACAGCATTTGGTTTAATCAAAGCGATAATTGCTCGAAAAATGATTCTTCCTGAAATGCATATCGTTATGGAAAAAGTTGCTGCTTTAAGCATTACTTCTGAACTAGAACACGTTAGAGTACAATCTCGCTCCGTTTTTTATTCTTATCTGATGGAATATCCTCTTGGTAAACATTTACAGAAACATATAGCATTTTATTTGACGCAAGTTAGCTATGAAATGCAACCAGGTCGTCTTAGTGCTTTAGAGATGATTTACAGTATTGTTACAGGATTTCCAGTAGTAAGTACATTTAGTTTTTTCATTCTTCCTCTTTTTCTGTTGATTAAAAGAAAAAAATCAAACTCATAACTTATATATCAATCATAATTTCAGAAAACTTTGGTCTTGAAGTCGGATATCATTTTTATAATGGTGGGTGTAAGATTGATAAATGATGATAATCCAATATGTCGCAAGTTGTGCGCTAAATGTATTAAGGAAATGATTACACGTATACCTTATAATAACAGAAGCAAACTTTTTGATATACTTGTAGCGTGGTTAAAAGATCTTAAGGTAAATTAGTTGAAATTAAATCTTAAGAGTACACATTTAACGTTATAAAATTACTTGATTACGTGTTATTTTAGGTAATGCATCGAACGTTGGGTGCTCAGTTATGCGGTATATTTGTAACAGTAGAAAAGGACACTTTTAAGTCTCGTTTAGATGAAATATTACCGCTTCTTTTGAAACAATTTCATGCAGATTTTAATGATAGCAATGAACCTGGTCGTTTCGTGAAGTTACATACAGAAAAGGAAATGCAATTAAAGAAAGAGCATTATATCAAAGATCCAGAGAGAATGAAAGATCATCATATGTTTCAAGTGTTGCAATTGTTACTAAAAATATCGGCAAATTGTACGGCATTTCTCAAAAGTGAAGAATATAAAAATGCTATTCGTTCGTTTGCTGGTATGTTTAATGTATTACTATATTACCTAATTCGTGAGTGTTTAGTATTAACAGAATTTTGCGTATTTCAGAATATAGTCAGTCCTTATTGGCACATCCTCATACATGGGTGCGTTTAGCAGCGTCTCAACTGATCGGATTTATTTTAGCTGTTCATGACGTTGATAAAATTATAGACCTTTTAGAAAACCCTGAAAAATGTGAAGCAGAAACCAGTTACATGTATTCCGATCCTACTACCGTTATAAAAAGTTTAAGTTTAGACCTAATTGCGCAACTACAGCCTGATATGACGTTAGAAGAATTAGCCGATCAGACTGTTAAAAATTTAATTTTTATCGCGAGAATATTAAAGTCTGTAAAACAGATTAATACTGCTACAGATCAAGTCAATGAAATGAAAGATAAAGATAAGAACCAGTTATCACTTCCTTGGCTTGTTCGAAGGCTGAGAAAGGCTGTAAATATAGAAATAACCCAAGCTCCTAAGTCAATAACAGTGGTACAGTACCCATTATTATCCTTATGTATACTTCCTTATAATGTTAAATAAATAATTAGAATATAAGTGATATTTCTTTTTTCAGCGGACTGCTTTCTTTAAGTGGGTTGGCGGTGTTGTGGCTACAATACCCATGGAATATTTAAATGTGGTACTTTTTAATATTATGTCACCAATTGTGCGTGAAATATCTACTACAGAAGAAAAAAATACCATTTTAAGACGATTAGCTAAAGAAGCGAGTGTGATGATTAAGAAACGATTAGATAGCGAAGAATATACTAGATTATTGAATCGAATACAACAGAATTTGGATATTAAAAAAGCAGAAAGAAAGATGATGCGTACGCAGCAGGTAAATTTGTTACATTTTTACCTTGTCTGTGAAATAAGTGGTAAAAAATGATTAAGAGTACTAAAAATTTTTTTATTACAGTTTGTAACGGATCCAGAATTAGCTGCCAAACGTAAAATTGCAAGACAACAGAAGAAAAAAGAAGCTAAAAAAAGGAGATCTGACAGAGTGACAGGGAAGAAAAGAATGAAAAAACGCGCAAGAAAAGAAGTCGATTTGGATATCATATAAATATTTTAAAAATAATTGTTACCATAAAACATTTTGTCAAGAAAATATTTATTTGTCAGGTTGATGGTATTTTTAGAATAATTGCAAATCTAATGTATATACATATGCAATTTACGTCATACTATATCTTTTTAAAAATAGATAATATGTAGATTTTATACATAAACATGTACATATGTATGTATGTCTTTAATTATTTTTCAATAATACTAAATGAACGTTTATTGTATAATAAGAGAATACATTAATTTATATTATATTAAAAAATATTAGGTTGAGTTATAAGTTCATTTTGCTATATAGATGTGATAAAATCTATTTCATGAAAAACTAACTTATTTTGTTCCTAAATATTCTATAAATATAATTTCTATAAATATCATATCTTTTATAAAAAAATTCAGAGGGGCATATTTTTATATTCTTCAAATAATTTTTATAAAATTTTTTCACATCCATACCTTGGTGAAGATGAAGGATGAGCGAATTTACTACTCAACTCAATATAATTAAAATCAGATCTTTTTACAATACATATAACTACCCTTATACACAGATATTCAAAATTTAATTGCTGTAATTTATTTTATAAATGTCGGATCACATCGATCAATGATTTGAATTAAAAATTTCGAAAGGCTGTTTACAGTTTTAATAATCTTTGAATATTGTTGGACATAGTAAAACCTATTTAATTTTACAATACATAAATCCAGTTTATTTATGTATTGTAATAAGGGACTTATCCGCTCTTAACAACTTCCTCAAAGGATACATATAATTAAAAAGCTTCTTATTATCAAGTGACCATGATCACATGAATACATTAAAAACAATACACGTAAGTGCAAAGTTTTGTCTAATTATATAGTATTGAAGTATCGGCAACTGGGATCTTTTCATTTTTCGAATTTTGACATGTTTATAAGCAAGAGCTTAACTACGGTTTAGAAGTATTCGTGCTTATCGGGTAATCCATGTTATCGGCAGTAGGTCGGTATAAAAAGCTGAAACCGGAATTGAAACGTAAGAATTGACATATTAGTTGTGGACGAAAAATTTCAACCTATCGATCTATCGTCCAGTCGTTCTTCGGGAGAACCAATTTTAGTTCGAACGCTTTCATTGATCGCTCGAGTATAGAATCGTAAGTTCGTGTGGGACGTTGCAGGATGTTTGCCACCGTGTTGCTAGCAATAGTAACGCTGATATTATTAATTATTTATTTAGTAGTCGGACAACATACGAGAAAAACCCCACCAGGTAATCAAAGTTATTTCTTATCAATAATATTGAGTCACGTTAGTCGACATCTTACAAAATTAGTGTATGGATCATTATACACCAAATCAGTATTCTTTTTTAATAATTTCTACGTAACCTTTATTTCGGATATACAATATAGTTAAGAGTTTTATCTTGCTAATATTTATAATTTTTGGTTTTTACAGTAAAATAAAATTGACAATAATAATGTGTTATGTTACGAAGATTAAAAATATTAGATCATTATTAGTCATGATAAGTTTTTATAATTTTTTATTGAGGTATAGAATCATTAATTTAATATTTCATCAAGATGAATGAACTAAAGGAGTTAATCTACCAATGAAGCCGTTAGCGGTGAATGTAAATCATGCGGATGTATACACTACTCGGGTTGATTGGGTCACTGAGCTGGTTTAAATTAGCGTCTTTATTGTTCCTCTAATGAAACTAATTCTTCTTGAGGCTTATCTATTTCGTCCGAATTAATTTTTTTTTTTTCGTCCGAGAAATTTTTATTCTCTATACAAAATATAAAGAGTAATACATGTTGTACTAATATTCGCATACATATTCGAATTTAGAGTAATAGAATGATCTATAATACGTTTTCGACACTGATTATAAAATCTTCGAAATATTATTATCATAATATCGATATCTATAATATAATTTATTATTATTATTTAGTACATATTTTATTATATAAATAAATTAGTATTATTTATTTTCAATTACTATAATATTTATAAAATAAAGCTCTTTGAATTTTTTGATCCCTTCCTATTCTACTTAAAACTTAAATAATTATTTTTTAATGCTCTAATCTCCGTTCTTGAAATTTATAAATTTAATACTATAGATAATAGTATATCGTATATATAATAGCATATAGTATATATATTGCTTATTATGTAAGACCATGAAACGTATTCTTTTTTCTCCTTTTTTTAAAGCTTTATTATTTTTTAGGGCCATTCTCGTGGCCGATTTTCGGCAACCAGTTTTTAATGAAGCGTTTGATTCGTGAATTTGGGGGACAGCACGAAGCGTTCCTGGAACTTTCGAAACGGTATGCTAGCGATGTGATAAGCGTAACTATGGGTAATGAAAAGGTACTGGTCATTTCTGGAAGCAAACTGTGTGAAACGGTACTGAAGAATGAGGAATTCGATGGACGACCTTGGAACGAATTTATCAAACTTCGAAATATGGGCAAAAAGCAAGGTACTAGAGTTCAAGACTATTTTTAATAGATCAGTTGAATTGAAAAAATTGTAAACAGTAATTGTTTGGTACAAGATGTTTTGAAAGATCATTCGAATAAAAAAAGAGCATATTTTGATGATTTTTATTCATTTGCATCATCAAATAGATATGTACTCATACAAATATCTATTTCAAATGGAATGCGAAATTTAGCTACAACAATTATACTAACAACAATTAATTTTCCATAAACATTTATCTTTAAAAATTATTTTATTTCCAATTGTCTTATCATATATGAAAAATGGGTTGTTGAAACTTTATTTTTATTAATTTGGATAATCAACGTCCTGCTGTAACTACGTATTATAATATTTCGCAATATAGCAGATGTGCGAAATAGATGCAACTTGATTCGAATATTAGCGATATTATCGTTTCCTGTTATTATCGATAGGCATCACAATGAACGACGGAGGAGAATGGAAGGAATTACGGAGCTGGATGTTGCGGACCATGAGGGTTTTCGGTTTTGGAAAACGCGAGATGGCGCAAATGATTAGAAAGGAACTGACCTTACTTTTGAATGAGATGAATACAGAGGGTCCGCACAAACTAAGACCGTTGATTACACCGACTGTGATAAACGTCCTCTGGTTTTTGACGACGGGAGAATCATTCAGCAGGGGCGAAAGGTACATAAATACACGTGTTCTATTGGATTTCTCTACTTTGTGTATCACCGTTTTCACGTATTCGGTCTCCCATGCGTATAAACGACTTGTTGGAATCGTTTACACGTTTGCTTAAATTCCTTTTTTTCTATGTAATGTAAGTTAATTATATTATTCATGAAAACATGTTTTACTTTCTTCATTTAGAATTGTTACAAAATCTTTTGAAGAATTTCGAAAAACAGAAATAGAACAGAAGAAAGGAAAGAAATGATTTTATTTTATTATTGCTTTGTAAAATTCGCTTCATTTAAGAAGAATTATTATTCCTTTATATTTCTTTTTTGAAAGAAAGAACAAAAATCACGGAATAAATCATTATAGAAACGAAAGTAATGATCCACAAGAATTTCGAAGCGAAACATAAAGTAGGTCACGTTCTTGAAATACATTCAATCCTGATTGATTGTTCTTTCCAATGCAGAATAGAGTCTTTTATCAAGTTGATGGAAACTCGAGCACAAGTCTTTGACATGATGGGCGGACTTATCTCTGCTTTCCCTTGGATTCGTTACATTGCACCTGAGTTCTCAGGATACAATCTTTTGTGTACGCTGAACAAAGAACTCAAGGACTTCTTAATGGTATGCCCATGATGTAAATCAATTATGACTTTACATTTATTAAATACGCTGTTTAACAATGAACTTGTTATACATGAACGTCTTTTTTGTACAGGAAACTATCATTGAGCATAAGAAGAAATACAAGCCGGGAAGTGAAGCAGATGTAATTGACATGTTCCTTCATGAAATGAAAAACCATGGGGAATCTAGCCCTATCTTCACTGGTGCGATCAAGTTTATAAGTTATTTTATTTATATTCGTAAACACATTCATATCTTTTAATTCTATCAGAATTTTATCTACTGAAAAAAATATTAGTATTTTTCATAGAACTGAAAAATAGATAATTTTTAATTTCCCTTTGGTTCTAAGAATACTGATGTTATATACTCATAGAAATATTCACGAAAGAGAAAGTATTCTCATTAGAAATTGTCGCGTACAATCCTACCAATCGTATAAGTTCGTTTTCTTACATAACATATTTTTCAGATGACCAATTGGTGATACTGTTGATTGATCTTTTCCTTGCTGGTTTTACGACCACGAGTTTAACCTTGGACTTTCTGTTATTAACTATGACGGTGTATCAGGATGTGCAGCATAAAGTACAAAAGGAAATCGACTCGGTGATACCGCGTGACAGACTTCCTGAAGTGGAGGATAAAGCAAAGTAATCAAATTTCCTGTTAAATATTCGAACTTATCTATGTAAAAATGTGGATTTAGCTGAAATTACTAATTCCTTTAATTTTTCGTTGAATCTTCTATCTTATGTTTCTTGTACAATTTTTGTTGTAATTCCTGTGTAGAAGAGCAAAAATTGTATGTTCGATGAAGAGATTAGAATAATGTAGTATGCGAGAAAAATGAAATTTTTCACTGTTATAGGCTCCCATATGTGGAGGCTGTAATAAGCGAAGTGCAACGAATGTGGCCAGTATTCCCTATAATTGGGCCGCGACGAGTTCTTCACAATACGATTCTTGACAAGTACGCGGTACCAAGAGATACCACCATTTTAGTCAATATGTACTCCATCAATAAGGATCCTAGTATCTATCCAGAGCCACACAAGTTCATGCCTGAAAGATTTATTAAAAATGACGTCTTCGAGCCAGATACATATTCTCTGCAATTTGGGAAAGGTATAAAATAGATTAGAACTTGTAAAATGTATTTTACAAATACCCAAAAATCTTCTAGCATTGTAGAATTGTAAAAATTTCTTAAAATATGCAGTCCACGTCAATGTCATTTTATCAAAGTACATAACAACGTAAATAAGATAATAGCGCTGTTCATTTATGTTTCCGGATATCTCTATGAAAGTTAGAAATACCTTTCATGAAGTTAATTAATGCAGTCATTATGAGCTAAACGAAACAGTGACGCAAAATACTGGGTACATTATGATCATTAAAAAGATGATTTTATTTATCGATACTTTCTATAGTTTTATGTGTTTGTCTCCAGGAAGAAGACGATGTCCAGGCGAAGTACTGGCGAAGTCCGCACTATTCATTTTGTTTACAGGCATAATGCAGAAGTATAATTTACGTCCAGTTCCCGGCAAAGGACCAAATTCTGTAGAAATTATATACGGCTTGACATCGTCCCCAAAGCCTTATGAGGCACTCGTGACGTCACGATATTAATACCTGCAATCCTCGTTCTTGATATATGTATAATTTCTTGCTAAATTTCTTACACTTATAACTTCCATGTATCACGTAATTAACAGGAAGTTATTCCTACAGAAAATTTCAATAGAATGTTTATGGTAAATGAAAAAAAATGCTAATTGATCAGTATGAAGAATAAAACAATAAAGACAAGGTAAAATATATTGTTCTGTACATTTGTTTTAGTATCCAGGCTGGATATACCTATTTTTATTTGTTCGATTTATTGTTTCAATGATAAAGATGTTGCCGATGCACGTTAAATGTGACGTTTCTCTGTTTTGAAGTAGCTCCACCCGTGGATAGAAGCTCGGTTTGTTTGACTTCAACAAATTTTTCTCTTGAATATTGTTTATTGTTTCTACCGCGTGAAAGTCGCTTTACGGGTCGTTTTACGTGTTCGACGAAATCAGTTCGTTTCGCAGAAGTCCAAATGTACCTTCGCTCGCACGCCACGTGGCGATTCAGTCCTTTTATATTAGGTTTCAACATGCCTGTCAAATATTTCCTTGTCACTGGAAAATAGATTCTGTAAAGCTAATAAAAATTATGTAGTTTGTATTTAAATATTGAAGATGATTCTTTTTCTTCTCAAAATTTTTTTATTATATATTTGAAGTAATTAGGAAATCATACACTCGGAGATATTACTTAATAAATAGAATAAAAACATTTCTCTATTAAATAATATAAAGCACATTCCTCGACTCTGGTGTTTAATGAATTATATTGAATCGCCATCGTGTAAGCATATGGTATCCCAATTATTATGTACAGAATAGCAATTTATTCTTAGAAGACTACTCACAATCTTCAGTTATATAATTTCCAGCTTTCATATTTGTATTCAATAAAATTATTAAAACATATAGGACATATTACACTTAATATTTTAGTCTAATTATCTATAATATTTACATTGTAGTGCAGTTTATAACGTCAGATCTCGCCGTAAGCTTGAGGTAATAAGATTTCGGTGATATAGTGAAACCATCGTATCCATTTAGATCGGGTTTGCCGTGTTCTGGTGAAATTTCAATGTCGAAGTAATGTATAACGTAGGCGAAGAATAAGAATAAGGATGTCCGGGCTAGCATTTCACCCGGACAACGTCTTTTACCTAAAAGGCAGAACGACATCATTAATTCTAGAACATTTTACCTCAGAATATGCAAAGACTTCAAATATTTACATCTACAACATTATCCATTGAATTTCTATTTAAATGACGTCTATTTGGCAATAAGAACTACATAAACTTAAAAAATATGATTTTATCTGGTGAATTATTTCCGGATTAATGAGCTGTGTGTATATATGCGTGTGTATACATATATGAGATTCGAAAATGTTTCAAGTGAAAAGAAACGAATTAAATTTGTCAAGATGAATTTCCAGTTCTTACAGAATATTTTATACAAATTTTATAGTGAGAATGATTTGTGTATGGAGACTGACCTAAACCGAATGGTATGCTAGCATTATTTTGACAGAATCGGCCATTTGCGTCGAGAAATCGCTGTGGTCGAAACTCTTCTGGATGGTCCCAATAAGTTGGATCATTTAGCACACTATGGAAATCCAGGAGAATTATAGTATTCTAAAATAACATAATAAAGAATACATAGACTGATGTTTTTATTCGGGACATTTATATTTGTAATACTTACTTTGGGTATACTATATCCGTTGAAAGTTACGTCCTTCATGGTCTTGTGAGGTACTCCAAGTGGAGCCAAGATCAAATATCTCTGTACCTATCGTAATAATGATCTGTTTATATAATTCAAAAGAAAAAAGTGCAATGGATCAGTAGTTACGATAATAAAAAGCGCGGAATCTTATGGTTATAGTATAATTAATTCCAACTATCAATTACTTCCGCAAGAAACGATTCCATCAAAGGTAGCGATGAATAATCTTCTAAAGTAGGCGATCTTAATCTACCTACGACGATATCTAGTTCTTCCTGGAGTATCTTAATCCATTCAGAGTGTAAAGATAAAAATAGGAAAGTGGTCGCTAAGGTATCTGTCGTAGTCTTTGAACCGGCTAAAAAGAGGTCCAGGCATAGGACCAATAAATTTTCCCCTTTTAAACAATTAAATTATTCTTTAGTAACAAATAGGTTATCATATTTTAATCGTATAAATAAAAGGAGATACTCACGATCAAAAATGGAATCACCTTGCTCAGTATTTTTTGAAGAAATCTCTAAAAGGAAAGCATCAATTAAATCCTGCGGTTGATTTCCAGAGAGTCGTTTTTCGTGGATATTAATCTCCTCGTCTAAGAAATTCCAAAGCTTCTGAAGTATTCTCATTAAATCATTGTAACCAGATAATTCTGGTATCATGAAGCGTAGAAATGGCATTTGCGAAACAATGCCACCCATTGTGTCCATCAATCTATGAGAAGAATATACTCGTGTAAGTATGCAAATTTATATTTACATTTGTATAACATACACCTTATGCACTCTTAACTACGATGTGATGATATTAAAAAAAAATTTGTTTCAAATTACCTGAAGGCATCGTGGACGGTCTCGAGAATTTCTACTAATTTCTCGTTTGCATAGTCAAATCTGTGTCCAGCGAACATAAACCAAAGAGAATTCAAAACTGCAATATCGAAAGCTGTATGCATTGGTACTGGACCTTTGACACTGGCACGAAGAAGGTAATTCACAAGATTATCAGCTTCGACAATCAGCTGTTGCTCCATAATTGCTTGACCTAGGCCAAAGGTTCTAAGGTGGCGCATCGTGAAACGACGACACTGAGACCACATTGGTCCTTCCGTGAATAAAATTCCTATCAAAATTTATTAATAAGAATATGTTTTAAGTAATTTTATTGTGAATTAAAAAAAAGACTAACATTACCTACCCTTCCTTTTTCCAAACGCACGGACTCTGAAAAAGAATCCATCCGGTCTTCCATTGAATTCTTCCTGAAGAAGAACTTTTTTTACCAGATCGTACGTCGAAATCACAACGGCTTTCTGATTCCCTAATTTCAGGCCCAGAATCGGCCCGTAGGTTTTCCTCAGGTCTTGAAGAGCCAAATAAGTGTATTTGTGTTTCAGTTTCAATCGTCGAAACGTGAAGAAGCAACCGATCACTGGCAACCATTTTGGACCTATTCGAATATTGAATAAAATGCGAATATTAAAGAAACTGATGAAATATATTAATTTATTAGACTAACTAAATAAGTTGAAGCAATTGTTATTACTCTCATAAAATTTGTCTTAGATTTTATAAAAAAGGTTAAAGTTAGGAATTAATATATTTGCTATTAATTACACATTGATTGTTCACCGACCAGGAGGAAAGTTGTGCGGTTTGATGCAATCATAAACGCCAAACATAAAAAGGAGTATAAGGAGAAGAGAGATGGTCGCGTAGAGCATCTTGAAATGCACTGATACTTCAGCTCGGGACTTCAAATGCAGCTACTATACCAAGCATATATACGTATTGTAACAAAAACGATTCTAGTGGCACTCTGTGATATTATCGGTGTGACACCCATGGCCTCTGACAAAAATATCTTTTTGTCTGACACATCCTTTTCATGGTGCTCTTCTCACTCTGTGCTCCGTTTGAAAAAATGTTATCTGTTTCTTTTCTTCTTTTTTTAAGACTATGATACAACAAAAACTCAACGTGAGATAAATCGCTTAGTTGAACTTAACAATCATTGTCGTTTATGTAATATCGTAGAAGAAATTCTTCGGCGAAAGTCTCCACGCTTTCGATCATAAGAAAAGTACTGTGAATTGTTTATTTAAGAGGAGCAACGATTTCAAATTTGAAACGCTATTTTTGAAAAGATTGAAGAAGAATAAAAATTCTGTGAATTTGGTGGTTGTTAATGGTCTGTGGTTTCTACTTGTCTATTTATAAGCAGTTTACTTATGAAGAATGCTTGAAATACTGAATACACGAGGTTAAATTCTTCTTGAAATGAAAGAGAATAACCCCAACCTAAAGAGAAGAGAATAACCTAACCCCAACCTAACCCCAACCTAACCCACAAATAAAAAAGATATTATTTCTCCTTTTACTTTTCAAATACGATTTCTGAAAAAAATGATGGATAATTAAAATAATAATTGTTCCATTAGCTTATATTCAGCTCACTAAGGTCAATGAAACATACTGAAATAACAAGAACCGACTACCTGTTTATTTTCATTATAGCTTACAAAAAAAGAGGCGCCATAGAAACTGTACTTTCGAAGTTGCTGCTGAATTATTTCCTGGTTAAATAAACTAATTGAAGTTAACCGATCCAACAGGTTTTGCATTTCTGTCAGTTGCAATTTATGGTTACCTACTAATTATATCATATCCGCTGCATTTGTAATGTCGTGTTGTTGTTGACCTTCCGTAACATGAAGTGGCAGTAACACGAAACTTTCCGATACACCCACGATCTCGAATAATTCTGTTGGAAAGTTTTGGAAAGTAACTCTGACCTACAACTTTTTTCTAAATCAAAGATCAAAATCCGATCATTATAAATATTGAAATCAAAAATAGTGTTATATAAAATGATCAATGATGTTTCTCTTATATTTAATCATTTGATATATTACTACTCATAAAAATATATTATATTATAGGAATATATTCATTGCTTCACATGTGATTATTTAATATGGCGCTTAATTAGATTTTATGATCATGCAAGATGTTATATCGTAATTTTCTTTCTAGACAATCGTTTACACATTGATATACCTACACGTGTTTGAGTATGTATTTTAAAACAAACATAAGTCGACGTCGTGCGCTTGGACACGTATGTTTTATGAGCAATGTTTGCAGATACACGTCGATGAAGTAGTAGCAATAAACATTTTTTTTAACTTTTCCATAAATGTTTTCAATCTTCATTCATTCGCTTTCTTTTTTTTGGAAAAAAAAATAATATAATAAGTTTTATGTATTTACGAATGTAGACTTAATCTTTATATATAGAAATACTTTCCTTATTACCACTTTCTAATAGAGTAAAATGTTGTACAGTTGCTAGGAAAAAATCACATACAGCCACTTTTGGTTTCGCCGCCATTAAATTCACGCCAATCCTAACCAATCGTAATTTATGTTAGAAATTACTCGAAGGCGGCGCTAATGGATCATTGTTTATGCGCGTGAAACTTACTTAATACGTCCTAATTCCTCATTGCTCTCGTAAACTCGTAAAATTGCTTACTATTGTGGTAATTGGTTGGTATTGAACTCGCAAGATTTCCATTTAACCATAAAATCACCTTCAGAAACGTAGAAAAGAATATATTCTTAAGGAAATAACCTTGGACACTTAATCGTTTCATCTGAAAGATATTCTAAATATGTATGTATTGGCTTCTTCCGAAAGGTTCGTTTCGTTTTTATTATAAATTCCTAGCAAATAATATTATTGCTGTTAGTTGGATACTAAAGAAAATTAAGGGGAAACGTAAAAAAATTCATTAATAAAACAGGTTCATTTTTTCAGTAAAATAATATTAAATCTCATATATACATACCAAGATATATACATACCTCTATCTGTCTCATTCACCAAGTATAACATAGTCCCATTATTATGTATTTATCATAATCTTTACAAAACTTATTCCAAATACATAAGCCAGAGATGAAATACTCTATGAGAGCCTATAGAAGCTATTTAAAAGAATTCATTGTTAAAAAGGCCAACAGTTTTTTAAGAAAAGCTCGTGAAACTACAAACGGTGAAAAATCTAATTCTAGTTAAATCTTTCCTAACTCTTAATCATTCCAAACCAAACAGCATTAAAAAGTTGAAGTAAATAATACGAAATATTTTAGGTTCACAGAAATTCTTCGGTAAATGTTTCTAATCAAATATATATTATTTCCTAACGAAATCTCACCTAGTTCGTCGAACCTATGAACGTCAAGGAGATAAAACGTTGTCACAATTTGTAACGAAACGAACGAGAGAAAGAGGTCCGGAGAAAAGTGGAAATCATTGGCCGGCTGAAGAGATCGATTAGAAAATATACGTGTACGACATTTCTCCAATTCTATTTTCTTCCCCGAGCGAAACACATTGGATGAAAAGTCTGACCCTGCGGTATAGTTGGATTAAAGCAAAAGTTTCTCTCGTCGTGCATTGAGGCCGATTCCACTGCGCAATGTACACATACATACAACCTATTAAGCCGAGTTTATACTTGATGAACAGATACGAACAAACATAAACGACATCAATGAATCAACGTGATAAGCATCAACAAACATGATTGCTTAGTAGATGACACACCAAGTGTGATTTAAATTGCAATGAAGCTTCCACTAGTCATAGGTTAGGTTAGGCTCTGAACTTTATCAATTAACAAGGAAGTTCTAAAAAACCTGGAGTATACAGTTGCTTACGAAAGTATTTGAATATTTATAGAAACCTTCTTTTGTTATGCGAAACGATTCTGAAATTGATGAAAGTGATGAAACGCGACTATTATGATTATACCGATACATTTCAAACAAATCTGAAACTAATACATAGAAGTTGCAAGACATTGTCTTGCAGGCACTTATATATTTCGTAGAGATCATAAAAGTGTTTAAACAATGAATTATCTATTATATTAATAATCTTCAATGTCTAATGGCAGCATGTTTAACACCTATTACATGTATAAGATGGTTATTCATGTGTATGTACTAACTTTTTACTAAATATATGTTTGCAATAAAGGACTTGTAACTTTTATATGCATTTTTAGATTGATTTCATATTTTATCAAATATAATCAGAATAGTCGGGTCTCGTATTGCCTATGAAATTTTAAATTGGTTAATAGGTACAATATATTAAATTGGCATAACATGTATACCTACATAAAAGTTTTTTATAATTGATGTTCAAATACTTTCATGAGACTTTTAGCTTTTTGAGACTGTAGCTTTTCCGCATTAAATACAAATACCTGATCTATGTTTGTTTATTGTAACGATATTGGATTACTTCTCAAAGTTGGCTTGAAGAACTGGTGGGCATAGCGATGTCTTGTTAAAGAAGGAAAATCCAATCAGCCAATTAATGTGGAGCTACTGTAAAGGTTTGCGTTCATTTGTCAGGTGCAGACCCGGCTTTATAAAGCAGTTGGATAACTCAAAGAGAATACAGTATAGCGGCAAGAATTAATTTATGTCGCTGAATGCATGTGAGCCGCACCACTCTCATATGTGTGGGTGCACGGATACTTTCTCTACGGTCGAGGTCTCCCATATACAACCCGACACGACTTCCTTCCATACAGATTCGAACTTTCTCCGGTTTTTCAGTAGCAGCGGCGGCTACAACCGCGTGGCCATGTTGCGTCATGTCGAGTGGATCCTCGGATGACGAAGCGAAATGCGATAGTGTTAATGAAATATGTATTAACAAACTGTACCGGTAATACCGGCGTATTAGTGTAGATTGCGATTTGGATGTAGAATATATGAAAAAGAAGCGAGAAGAAATACTATAAGAAAATATTGAAGTTATGTTTGTCGATGATTCGTGTAGCAAATATTTACTTAGTTCTTGCTTTTGCGGAATGTTCTAATCTTGAGTAGGTTCTGGAATTTATATATTACTTAGTTAACGTGGAGCAATGCCATGTGAAAATTTGTAATAATAGGAAGTTTTTCTTTATTAGGCTTTTCTTTCTTTGCTATGTAGATTTACTGTAATTTTCTATAATCTTCATTCGTAATACCTCTAAAAAATATGTGTGATAATCAGGTGAAATAATAACAAAATTGTTTTAACAAAATATTAATCAACTTTATTTGTAACGGCATCGGTTAACAAAAGTAACAACAACATTGTATAAAAAGGGGGAGTAGAAAATATACATACATAAAGATAAAACGCGTTAGGGTCAGGGCCGTGTCAGTCGATTAATCCTTCGAAAACTTAACTCTCTACAACTTATTATACGACTAAGATAATATATACAGCGGCTTATGTTACAATACTCTTGAATAGGTTTTTATACAAGCTATAGATTTTTATACTGCTCGATCAGTGATTGGTAAACCCAAAGTTGGCTGTCTGACCGCTTTGATTTTTCGATGCTGGTGGTGGCACCAGGTCCTGACTGATCGATGGAGTTTCAGTCTTCGAAGATCTATCCCATCTAACCTTGTTCTCGTCGATTCGATGTTGCTGTTGCTGAGCCTGAGCGTTCTGCTTTGAAGCAGCATCAGAACTGTACGGAACTATCTGAGAACTTTGAGTTTCTGTATCTTTTCGGTCTTCCCAACCATGGTGATGGGGATGGTGGTCGTCTGCGGGGAACCATTCTGATATCCAAACTGGTTTCCAAATCTTCTTCCATGCTGGAACCCAAATTTCCTTCCAAGCTGGTACCCAAATCTGTTTCCAAGCTTCTTTCCAGGCTAATTTCTTATCAGGTATCCACTCAAGTTTCTTGTCAGTCTTCCAAATCTGTTTCCAAGCCTCTTTCCATTCGAGCTTCTTATCAGGCACCCAAATAAGTTTCTTAGATGGTTTCCAAATCTGCTTCCATTCTTCCTTCCAGATAAGCTTCTTGTCATCTACCCAAATTTGCTTTTTGGCCGGCTTCCAGATTTGCTTCCAGGCTTCCACCCACTCCAGCTTCTTGTCCGGTACCCAGATCTGTTTTTTCGCTGGTTTCCAATACTTTTTCCATAGTGGTTTCCATATCAGTTTCTTCTTCCACAGATCGTGACTAGTGTACTGCCATCCATGGTTATCGGTGCCGTGGAAGTGCTCACCAGGAATGCCGATTTTCACCCATTCAGGGATCCAGATTTTTTTCCAGGCTGGTACCTGAATCTCCTTCCACGCTGGTACTTGAATTTCCTTCCAAACCGGTTTCCAGATCTTCTTCCACGCGGGCACCTGAATTTCCTTCCAGGCTGGCACCTTTATAGGTTTCCAAACGGGTTTCCAAATCTTTTTCCAGGCTGGTACCTGAATGTCCTTCCACACTGGGACCTGTATCTCCTTCCACACGGGCTTCCAAATTTTTTTCCAAGCTGGCACCTGAATGTCTTTCCATACTGCCTTCTGTGTTGGTACCCACACGGGTTTCCAAATTTTCTTCCACGCGGGCTTCCAAATTTGTTTCTTTGCTGGTTTCCAGATTTTCTTCCATCCTGGCTTCCAAATCAGTTTCTTCTTCCAATAGCCATGATCGTGGTGATGATGGTGATGATCGTCATGGTGTTCTTCGAGCGCTCCATTGCCTCCATCGCCACCACCTCCTCCAGAATGACCAAAACCACCACCAATGTCACCTCCACTGGAATGGCCAAAAGTACCGCCAATGTCACCTCCAGAATGACCAAAACCACCGCCGATGTCACCACCGCCAGAGTGACCAAAGCCACCTCCTCCAGAATGGCCGAAACCACCTCCTGTATCACCACCGTGAGCGCTAAAGTCTCCACCGTGACCACCTAGATCTCCACCGTGACCACTTAGATCTCCACCGTGACCACCTAGATCTCCACCGTAACCGGTAGCTAAACCGCCACCATGGCCTCCCAAATCATCACCCCATCTCTTCTGTGCCGCTGTGCCATATCTATGTTCGAAAGTTATTTAAAAAACTATAATAATTTACTAGTAAACTTGCTATAGTATTGCTATGACATTTACTACAGTATTTGAATTGTTTAAAAGAAAAATATTTTAATCCTGAAAGATCATAGAAATAGTATATAGTAAGAATGATTTTAATTACATTAAAAGTTCTATTTATGTTTTTAGTAAAAATAATAAAATGTACACTTACGGAATTTGTTGCTGAGACCTCTGTTCCTGCAGTTGATTCTGATCCACTGCCTTGCTCGCCACAAGTGCGGCTTGCAGTAGCACTACTAGTGCAGCCTGTGAACAACGTAATTGCAGCTATTACAGAATTTCTCTATAAGTAACATGCTAGCAAATGTCACTATTTAACGCCGTCTGCCTTAACTATTTTTGAGTTCCAGATATAATTACGTTTAAATCTTGATGAGAAAACTGAAACATACAATACAAGACACGGAGAAATTTTGATTTTTTTATGGTAATATTCTAGTCATGACTTTTAACCGCTGTTCGTTTATGGTACATCACTTTCGAAACTCGTTGCCAATCGATAATCAAGTAACACGTTTGTAGACAAATAGTGACTGTCGCCCTACAGTTCCGGTTCTGTCCATCGTTGTTCTCGAATTGTTATACATGGTTGAGGAGAAATACTATGAGCATCGAAGAAAACAGGATCGTTTAAAATTATAATAAATAAGAGAAATATCTAGTTCAATGTTTCTGCAATATTAAATATTTTAAAACTTAAATTATATTATCAGATATTATTTTCTAGATTTATGATTATTCATGAAAGGTATTCACATTTTACCTATATTTTATTATATTATGTCTGGACAACAAAATGATTAAAAACGATCTACATAGTACCATATAAATTAACCATAGATTCTATTTTTCAGATAAATAACCTGGAGCGTCTAACGTTGGCCCAATCGTTAAATGGTAATCAACATTACTTTACCAGAAACTTCAAGTACGATGATCTTAATAGTCAAGTCGATCACCATTCTTCAATCATGACACTCGCTACTTACTCCAGATATGACGAATCTCAAAGACATCACCGATTATTTCGCTTGCACCCTTGCTACGATGAAATCGTTCGAGAACATCCACCTTACTCAGATGCGATAGTTAAAAGAATCACGATTTGTGGATAAGGTCGAGAAACTTAATCGAAACAAATGTTTTAAAAGAAAAACTAACCACGCATCCCGGGCGAATCCTCATATTTTTCGCAATGCCGCCCGTCGGGCTCGGGCCGCGTACTCTTGTTCCCTAAGTGCAGGAAAACGTAAGTTACTTCGTCCAATCAGCGGAACGCCGTTGTTATATAGGCGCGTATTCTCCCCCAGTGCTATCGTCGGAAGGTGACTTGTGGACGTGGTGCGCCTGGGCCAGGTGCTGAAGGTGGTGGTAAAATCGTCCTGGTGGAGGAGGCAGTCCACATAGTCAGAGGAAATCGAGACACGATGGTGGTGGGCTCCGAGGGGACGACGTTACGGAAAGCCCGTAACTTGACTACCTAGCGATGGAACCGATTTTATTCTTTTCTGTTGGCTGACCACAGTTTGTTACATGAAGGTACTATCATGTTCTTGTAAGGTTTTCCTTTTTTGTGGATCTATATTTACAATATTTCAAATTTCAATGCTATTTCCTTTCTTAAGGAAAGTTCTTAAACTAAGTAGTCGTTTTTGGAGATAATCAGGGCAGTATAATAGAAAACTATAATATAATTTATATATTATATTATGTATTTATAATTTAATATAATTTAATTTAATTAAATATATTTCATTTAATATAAAGATACTGGCTATATTATTTAGGAAAATTAATATGACAGAAAATGTCGTTATACATGTTATACAACATTTTTAGCCTAAGTATAATATTACTAGAATATTGATACTATACTGTACATGATATGTATTTTACTCATATAACTATTTACAGAATTCAAAAGGAATCTCCACAATTGATTTCACTACAAAATCTGTTCTACCTATCCTCTGCTCCTCATAATTGATATTGTATATTCTATAATTAGTATCCTATTCCATATTCCATAGTAACGCTAACAAAAAACATCCATAAAATAATTTGTAGAGCTCAGAAGGGACTTAATCCCATCGCTACGTTCGCTCTCCTTCTTCCTTGCCGGAGTCCACCTCCCACGAGCAGACTGGCGATCTTACTTTATACTATACCACGATGGGCTATCGTTCCGGAGAAAGTGATCGGGAACGCGATCCGGTCGGGCGAGCCTGACGGTTTCGTTCTCTTGGTATTTACGCGGCTCTGTCCAGCGAAGGCGAAGTTCACGGGTAAGCAAGGTTATGTAGCAAGGTTATACCTGGTGTTCCAGATTACCTGAGAAGGGAAAAGTGGTGGCAAAAAGAGATCGATCGGCGCCACTTCGTGTTTCATGTAAATTTTTTCCCTTTGTATGATCGGACCGATTTCGGGACATCCAACCGTTTCACATCCACTGCTGGTTTCTCTTCTGGAAGGCCCCACGGCTGGACCAGCATCGTTTTTCCTTTCACATATCCTGTCATCGTTGATAAGCGCCGGAAGGCGTACGATCGATGTCACATCAAATTTTGCCACTTGATTGAGGAGCATATATTAAAGTAAGAAAAAGTTTCTCCATCTGTAAAAGACTAAAAGGAATTGGATGTTTAAGAGCTGAAGAAAAAGGTGTTGCGAATAATAGAAATATAGAAATAGAAATTTGTATCATAAATTATAGAATCTCCAGTTATATTCCTTAATCCGTAATTTCTTTTAATAAGGAAAAGTACGTATTCATAAAAGTGTCGTATAGAAAATCGCGGAACTAATTGTTGCTGCTAGGCACAATCATGGTTTCGTCTTTACATCGAGTGAAAATAAATTTCCTGATGCGTCCTTATTCATTAATGATTTCTAATGCGTTCTGTTTCATTAATTACGCAGACGGTTTGGGTAGATCAACTTCCGAATGAGATTCCGTTTACGCAATTTTGCTACCCGTTCAGTTATTCAACAGTCACGAGACAAACAGAAATATAGTAATTACTTATTTAATCTAATATCTCGTCTCAAGATCATTGATTGAAATATGTCCAAGATATACAATTTTATGTACAACACAATTTTGCTCCTTGGAAGAGGGACTCACATTCCTATATGTTACATACTTTCGCAAGATTTAATTGTCTGAAACGAAACAACGGACACGGATTATGGTGGCGTTGCGTTTTATTTGAAAAGCTCATAATCACAGACGCCTGCATCAGTGAAAGTTCACGCTAAAGTGGGAAAAAATATTACAATGCAAAAGATACGACTCCTGTTACCTCTTTGAGATTTTAACCATTAGTAATCACGAAATATATGTCAACATTCCAAATTTAATGGAATATATGTAATTTAAAAGAATAATGGCACAAATGAGGCTGTCAGAGAAACAATAGTGGACGATGAAGGTAGGAAACGAAATAAGTTATGAGAAAGCATACTCAATAAAAATGATATAAAAATATTTCTTTCACTTTAATGATAATTTCTTTTACTTTGGTTCCATTTTCAGGTGATGCACTTTGATCATCACTTTGATGCAAAATCTGAAATATGGTAAGAATAAGTAAATGATAATAAATAATAAGAAATGTCATAAAGTAGATATCTCTAATTAGACAATGAAGTCTTTATTTTACTTAACCTAGGTATTAGTGACTTGAAGTGGATATCGATTCCATCCAACGTATTCCAAAGTTATTTCGTGTGTTAATATGTTGTACTACACCACTGGGTTTGCGAGCCAAGCTGGAAGTGATAACTGTCTAATTTCGCGCGAAATACGCAACGACAGGTATACGTATTCGCAGGATGAAAGTGAATTCTTTATTCTACGAAGCCAAACACTTGAAAGCAAACGAAACTGCTAGGATATGTTCCAACTATTCCGGTTCGTAAATCATTTGGTCGCGCGGTTGCTCCAGATTTTCAAACCTGTACGCGAGAACAATCCAGACCGACGTTTCACCATTCCTCCGCGTCTGCGATATTAGTTTCCGCTTGATACTAACATTTTCTTTTGACCCTGAGAAAAAGGCCCAACCTGAAACGTTCAAAGCTAAACGCCGTCATTCTTAGAATTTCTTATTAAGTTCTAACTTTCAGTTCTTCATATGTTTATCATTGCGTGTCACAACTTAAGAGCCCGGCGCGGAATAAATACTCATTGGCTGTTATCTGGTAAAGTTTCGCTAATTAATTTCCTATTTTTTAGAAGGAGAGTTAGCAATGGCAAATATTGATGTATGCACATATATATCATAGCAAGGATATATAGGAGTGCGAAACGGAGAAGAAGATATGAAATCTGTCATCCATCATTTGGCGCGTGGGTGGAAGTAAAAAAAGGACGTTTGAGACGTTTCCTAAGGCGCGACGGTAAATAGAGGATCGAAATATTTTAGAAATTTGTATTTGCACTCCAGATGGTCGACTTATGGGCAAATACCTACGGCTTGCTTTCTAAACGTCTCGTCCCTCGAGGTAGTCTCGCTCCTCGAAATGTCTCTTCTTCGATATTTGGGTTACGTGCTCCGGTAAAAAGGTTTACGAAAAACAAACGATTGCTTCACGTTCCCGGAAACGGTGTCTTAGTTTAGTTCTTATCAGAAGTAGAACTAGGTCTTCCTCTTATTTTCTTCTTTGAGAGTTAGAAAGAAAAGTTTTATTCACGAAAGATAAAAGAATTGGTACCATATGATTAACAGATTAATCTGCAATTAAGAATAATATTAATATTTACGTTACTTATTTTCAGTATGGAGAAGTGATATAAACTTTATGAAAGAAAAAAGATGTAAATACCCGTCTTCTTCTTTTAAAACTCACATTGTTAGAAAATTGCTCTTTATGATAAGGAGCAATGTAAGTATTTATGATATTCGTTTCATTTAGAACAGAATACGTTTTGCATTGCGTGATACTTTATCCTACTTTGTCTGTACAACAGTTTACTCGAAAAGATGTTCCCGCCACTTTCGTTGAAGTAATAGGTAATAAATTTAAATCTTTACACAAATTTCTTCGCTGATGATTTCTTCATGTTATTTACTGCATCTCTATATCAAATAGTTGGCAATAATCGAGGAAACGAGCAAGCAGATATACAAGATAAATGTTTATCCTTCCTATTTTATGCACGATATCTTTCGAGCTTATAGTCTCTTCTGATTCCACAATGTATTTGCCTTCTATTAGTGGTGGAAAAGGACATATGAATTCTCTTAAAAAATAAAAATTATAGTGAATTTCATTACTAATTATTCAAAGAATTCTTAAAAATGTTTAGTTTTTAAGAAAGTGAAGAAATAATTCTAAAGAAATAATTCGTCTCTAAAGAGCAGAGATATAAAACTTGCTCTATCAGAATGTTACTCTACCTACAAGAACACGTGTAGTCGTCTAAGAACACGTTCTAATATTTCGTACACCATTCTAACTTTTTTCTGTCGGTAAAATTAAATGATTACAGTATCGTCAGTCTTCAAGATATAATTATGTCTCTTTACTTCGAAAATCTTTCATTTGTCTTTGATTTTTTGTCCATGTAATTTCTCGGGAGTGAAAGGTGTCCGTGGTGATTTCATACTACATGGTCATATACACGTACGCTCGTTTACGCACGTTCGCATGTCCATATAAACAAACATTATCGCGTTACCTAATCCTTGTTACCCGCCATCCATTAACAATTAATGCTTCGCCATGATTTTCACCAATTAAAGTGTCCACGCGAATAATATAGGGAATTAGAAAATACAAAACTGTACAGTACATAATTGCACATTACATAATATGAAAAAATATATAAAATATATAAATATATGAACATATATAAAATATAGTGCCTTTTATAATATTCGATAGGTAAAACAACTTTCCATTTTCCTATTTTTTCTTTGCACTTTTGTGATTACTATACTCTCTAAAATATGAATTTACGTAAAAACCCGCAGTCTATTTGTAACGATATTTTGCGATCTTGAGCTAGCAGTAAACAAAGAAATTTATGTTTAACTCAAAAGTTCTATCACGTTTTAAGTTCCAAATCTTATGTAGTGCTCAATATGATCTTTGACAGGTCTCGTGTCACGTGTATTGTCTTTAATACACACTGAACTTTCCATTCATGTTTCTGACATTTTCAACGCTTGTCAGATAAGTATAATAGTAGCGTGCACTATCGGTGGCATACGTGATTTGAAAGAAAAATTGTGCGTGAAGACACCAGAATGTGTTAGAAAGCAACTCAATGTGGAGTATCCCTGTTAAGATTTTATTTCAATCAGAACTAATATTATTTACTTATTTGCGAAAATTTATTTCTCATTGCATGGAAAACTTTAGAATCATTTTGTAGGGTTTTATCGGTTGATGAACTTCATAGTATTCTTTTTTCACCGAACGTTCAACAAGTGTTACTTAACTAAAACTGTGTTTGATGTTCAATTAGGACGTTTGGTATATGCTGTCGTTCGTTATATAGTTCGGTTAATGTTAGATCCTTTGAATATCTGCCAGTTCCGGCGTGTGGAAGTTTAGTGAAAGTAACAAATACCGCCGGGCAATTGATGTAACAGCCTTACTCTGGTCTTCTATCAATCTCGTCATTCCATTACGAATCGTAATGCCTTCTAGAAATACGATGGGTCGCCCCTGTTAATAAGTGGGTAAGTCAGTGAAAGGTGTTCCATCATTCGTAGTCCATATCCTGGAATTAAGATACATACTTAAGAAAATTATGAAAGGAACTATTTAAAATTTACAGCGTCGTAACTTCTCATTGATTGATTACAAAGGGTTCTTAAGCTTGATATGTATTTTTCCGCTACTTTTGTGTATTAATATATGGTATGAATGTTGCTAGTACTACATCTGAATTTCCAAAGTATCTCAGTTCCCGACGTATCAATTTTTATGTATCTGGTACGAAAAATACTTGAGTTTACGTATATCTGAATCCAAGAATACTTGAATCAACATCGATAATCCCGAGTACATAATTTTTGTAATGTCTGAAGTCAGAGGTAGCTGAAGTAGGTACTTGAGCTTTCAAATACATCTAAATCTAAGCGTGCCTGAATTTTCAATATACAAGTTCTCATGTATGTATTCTCTTCCGAATGTTCGATTAGTTGAATTCTGAAATAAGTACTTGAGTTGCTATCGTGTAGTTAGCACTTGTAGACAATAAACGTCTAATACAAGCATCTGTTCTACTCATTAGAAAGCGTTAGGCATTGTCACATCCTTGTTTGAAAGTGAATTGCATGGATTTTCTTCGGGCCACGGGTTACGTATTCATCCTCTTCGATTTCCTGGCACGCAGTTGCGTACACTTCGATAGATATCTTTATCCTCGTGCAGCGTAAATTAGAAACCGGATGTTCCACTCTCTACAGAAATCCAGCGACATTTTAGGAAACTAGCGTTGAAGATTTTTCTCTTGTCTGGTGAGATCCTGAATGACATCGGAAAACGAGGATGAACAAAGGAGCGTTGGAAGGTGTAAAACGTAATTGTCAGAACTGTCAGACAGTGGAGAGTGTCAGAATGCGCTAATCGTCGAGATTAACTTTCACATATTGTAACAGCTATATGAACGTTGGAATGTTCTCAGAGAGCAGGAAGAGTTATTAAGATCACGGCCGGTTACCCAAGCACGCTTGAATAAGCTTTGATTCCATGGAATTTTCTCCTGTCATTAACCTTCACGAGTAGTATTAAAATATTTTGTACTTAACGTTCGACTAAATCGCTCATGTATCTTCATACATTAAGAGCGCAAGTGAAATGA